ATCATTTAACATTAAACCATGTAAGTATAAAGACCCAAACGGAAGTACTTGTATGGTGGCTGAGAAGGCGCATGTCTGTGTGCATTGCGCGCAGATAAGGAAGATGAATTAGCTTCATAGCGTCTCACTGCAAGCTATGTAGATGGCTATGGCTACCTGCTGCAGCTTGTAAAGGGTTTGTTAAGCCGCCTTGAAAGAATCAATGCCGAAGTACATATTTACGAATACATACGTGTATGTGTGTGCGAAAGCTTGCTATCTTGATAATACTAACCATTAAGTATCGTCAACGTTCAGAACTTCGTTAATCTTCGGACATGAAAACTGGCAAAGGATGTCGGGCTAGAATAAGATAGGTAAAACTGCGCAGAAGTCAAAAAAATTTTCTTCAAGCGCTGTCTACAATTCCAGGCATAGCAACAATGGCTAGGTCAGTAGGCCAAGGAACTCAATGGATGTGACGGTTGAACAAAACAAGAGTACTCGCTATAGCAGTGCGGCTTGCTAGGTACTGTTTAAGCTGTCTCAAAAAACTACATATGCAAAATCTATACATAGCAGTATGCAAATCTTTTAGGAGCTTGGGTCAATATATGAGATATACAAGGATATCGTAGGGTTCATTAATTTTCCTAGAGGTCACTTGGAAAATATGCATTTTCAAGACCGGTGTTTGTCCCAATAAAAGAGAAAAATTGCCTATTATTGCCCTGTACCCCTTATCAATACATGTGTATCTATGAAAGGTGTGTGTCCCTTTGAGCTTATTTCTGTTTGGTTTAAAAACTACTTGAAGAAGGCTATACTAACAGCTTGATTGCTCTGATACGAATTAATTTAGTGAATTTTGAGCGGATTGATGGTATCAAAGCAACATTTGTTTGGAGGCATCTAACGATCCAAAAAAAGCAAATAGTTTTTGCTATCGCAAGCTATTATTCTCGTTCCTCATCCCGAGCCAAGTGCTCCTCATCTCGCTTATTAAGTCTCGATCATTTATGAGTTACCCCTTTTTCTCCATTCCATATCATCATCGCTTGATTCTAAGTGAAGACAGAAGCGCAGGTTGGGACTACTACAAACGGCGCGTGAGAGTCTCGACGTATAAAAGCTCAAAGAAATAAAAGGCGAACCAACTTTCCATTAAGCAGCAGGACGCATCGCAATGTCTCCAATCCTTCGATGCTACTCTGGTGTGGCACGAATAGCTGGTAGAGGTATAGCAAGTGAAAGCTAGGGCAGGTGGGCGCGATACCGCTTCATACCTCCGACTCAGACCGGCGTTACTTGCTGCATAGTAATGAGCCTCGCTACTAGCAGCTTGTGCTGCTGCTGTGGGCTGCATTTAAATGACTACGTCTAACGATATGGAGAGCGTTAATCACTCAGAACCTTACTGTAATAATTCTGGAAATCATTGCCTAATACTAGGAGGTTAGCAAATCAATGAACGAATCCGTGGGTGACCTTTTTACTGCCGATTGATTAGTTATCAGTTACACACGTCAATTTGCATACCGTCACATCAATGGCACGCTCAAACAGAAAAGCCATTGATTAAAATGTTCGCATTGTGTTATGAGCATCTCCGTAGCGACAGCGTTCTGAGGCAGTATTCCGTACATTTTAAAAGAGGAGACAACTCAGTTGATCTGTCGTCCGAATATACGTTAGACGTATTATCGTTGCTAGACCCATGTCAAGGCGAAGCTCAGAATTTCTCTCGAGCTGGACAGCAGGTTTTCGGTAGATAAGTCAGATTTTTGGGAAAGAGAAAGGGAGAAGGAGCAGGCCCGGCGTTACCAGCATTGGCAAAAAAAGAAATTAGTCAATTTACTGTAGATTTACATGCTGTCACTGGCTACCGATTTCCATCAGCTTTTACTGGCTTTTTGGTACCCAGTTGGATCAGTCGCAGATGTTCTCGAGTACTCACGAGGAGTGCTTAAACTACGTTAGGGCTAACAAGAATTAAAGGAATGGGTACTTAGTTTGACGACGCAAATAAGCGCCGGCAGCTTAATTCAGCTGACCAAACTGAACGGACTGAATTCAGCTCTGAACTAAAAACATGCACTAGCCGTTCGGGAATAAATTTTCAGATCTATTGTGATGCTTCTGTCGAACCCAGCCCATCATTGGCTTTCACTGGAATAAAATGAGAAAGTTGGAAATAAGCATGCCAACTTTTTTCTCCTATCCTCTTGAATAAGGGTTAACCGAGGATTTATTTCATTTAGTCAAGTACGCTCACACGGTCAACCTCACTCAGGCAAGCTTCGTCCCATTAGATATGGTAAGTTGTTCAATTCTTGCGCGCAGAGTTTGGTTTCTGTGTGACGTTTAGTAAGAAATGTGGAATACGAGATAAAATATACATATCGACGAAGATGGGATTCGAACCCACGCGGGCAGAGCCCATTGGATTAGCAGTCCAACGCCTTAACCACTCGGCCACCTCGTCGCGTGATACTCAACAAATTGAATAATTTGTTAATTTAATTAAGTTAATTGAATAAAAAATAATTTGAATAACTTTTGACTCAAGATGTACCATTTTCTTTCGAGGGTCTATCTTTGGTTAAATGACCATCAGACACACCTTGCCTATTGTATGTTACCTGCTCGAAACTACTCGCAAATGATTTTTAATTAGATGTAAGTTGTATAAGGCATCGTTGATAGAATGAACCGACCCTCTTGTGGCTGCATGATGATAGATATTTTCAATATGTAGAATATATTCGCGTGTTTTTTTTCATTCAGCTTTCTCCATGCCACCATTTTAATATCCAAGCCTATATTGTAACTCCTTTGTATGCAGAAACCTGTTGCAGTTCCTTTGGCTTTTCATACTATTCGCAAAGGAGACGCGCTGCACTGTCGCAGCTTTACCGGATTCAAAGTGACAGTGGTCTTTGCCTAAACGAATTTCTGAGGAATGAAACGCTATAGTGAAAATAAGAGACAACGGTATTACAATCAAGAGTTTTTATGCAGTTAACCGATGTTGTTGAATAAATTTATACCAGGTAATGTTCGTTTGAAGGAGTTTTTTAGAGGCTGCCTTAACGTATGTTATTACTTTAAAAAGATGTGGTTGATGAGTGTTAACAAACTGTACGTTAATTTATTTTTCAAAGAAGTTAACTGACGAACACGCGCAGATGCAATGCTTTAATAAATTTATCAGGGAACACTCGATGGCTACCGATATGGCTGTAATACAGAAAGGAGGTTGAGTGGGCATAAACCAAGTCTTTTCAAAATGACCCGTGACCTTAAGGTTATGAGGCGCGCCACGTTGCACGTAGGCCATTTATGTTTAAAATCTAGATAATTGGGCATTTAAGGATAAATTACAATAATTATAGATTGCTTCCTTACGTCACAATGGCAACAGCAATGGCATGATTCTATAATCGTTACATATCTTCAGAACATGTCTATCCGCCGGTAAGTATCTAGTCGCAATTAATGCTCGCAAGCTGTAGGCGTGCAATGCTTTTGCATGCGCATTCTTCTCAAGATTTTTCTCTTATGAAGATCCGAGGGGTACTGAAAAATCTGTATCCAGTAAGTAAAATAACTTTTATTAAACGGGGTTCGCTTTAAGTTTCCGCAGGCATCTGCACTACTTCAACTTTTCGCAAGGCTATACGTGGCCGAAATCTTTTTTAACGCGTTTTCATAACTATCGTGCACAAAATATAGGCAGGTCAGCGCTGGTTTGTAAAATTGATTTATTTATGTTAAAGGTAGATGGCTGCTTGTATCGGCATCCTACCGCTTCGTTGGATACCGTAATGTTGTGCTATTAACGGGTTTCAAAGCGGGCATAACGACGATTCACTCCTTGTTGAAAGAGCCCAGCAGTTCGGTCTGAACAGTGCTTGACTAAAGCTGTACCAGACCTAAAACTGGAAACGTTTCTTTTATTCAAATTAGAGAGCAGGCAGAGAAATCCAACAGGACGTTCCCTTCTAGCAATCTTTGGAGCATTACTAAAATGCTTGTCTGCATTGGAAAATAGCTGAAGTCCGCTAGAAATGACACAGATCTTTATAATTATCCGTCCGCCAAATATTAACTACTTCTACTAGCTTCGGGTTTCTGACCCACAGAACAGAAAGTAGATGAAAAGCCGCTTTAGTCAAGCTTAGCAGACTTTTCAAATTGTGGCGCATATCTAGAAGAAGCCTTGGCAAAAAGCAAGAACTGGGTAAATACTTTGTAAAGTTCCAATGTGATAACTTCCCTACAAATGAACGCGTATTTACGACTTCAGAGTATGTGTAGACACTTTTCTTTATGTTGGAGTAGCATCTGCGTTTTATAATGCTTAACCTAAGGGGCTACCTAACGCCATGTTCATATGATTTCTTTTCCTTATGGTTCTCTATAAATCCTAGAGTATCGCTTTAGCCTAAACGGTGCTTGTGCGGTACGGTTATCCTTAAAACAAAGTTAGCCACAGTTTTATTCTTTAGTTAACAAATTTATTATAGGTACTAAAACGATTCGATTTCTCAAACTTATTGTTCAAAACTTAATGGTTTGTAAATCATAACATTAACTTGAGATATAGACCTTTGAAATCCCTACTACGCGTCCCATGTGGCTTTGCTTAGTTAACAACGCTTCTCATCGGCGACGCTCGTTACTTTACCTATATGTTTCGAGTTTTACGCCCGGTATCGCGTTTAGGCACCCCAACAGAGAGCTGGCTCTTAGCGTAAAATGAACCGTGTTTATGCCCACGTTCAAACCTATATCACAATGTGCCCCTATCATTAGCAGGCATGTCATCCATTAAGCTCGTTAGCTTACCTAAACGCGTTTGAGCGTCCTTAGATGATAACTGTTGGTGATGGAGCTCCTACAGTCCACTTATCCCCACTACTACGTCTTTGCCATCATTAAGTAAAATACGTTCATTTCGCCAGAAGTTTACTTAAGACGCAAGCAATACACTCTCTCAGATACCGCTCACGCTTGAGTGAGGTCGTCCTTGCGCAACCCAAATGGAGAACTTTTCAGTCGAGCTCACGAATTTAGGGACAGGAAACCTATGACAACGCAACCATGTCGTTCTATTACGATAACGAAACAAAAAATCGTTGAGGTTCAATATTTGAAGTAGTCAAGGTAGAGCAGGTGAAATAGACGTTTCACAAAGAAGTGAGGATTAAATTACAGTACTCTCGAGGCGAATACCTTTAAATTAAAATATCCCGGTGTTTATAGTTTTCGGTAGACTTGCGTTTGTGTAGAGGTATCGTTCGACGTTGCGATTCTGACCTTGTTCTGACTTGCACGGTCGTGAAGTCGCCAATACGCGGTCAATGGAAGTAAACCCGTTATCAGAGGATGAGGACAGCTCTTCAGCAGGCTCATCCAGTGAGCAAGGAGAAAAAGACGATGTGTGTATTTGATAGAATGAAGACAACTTCATTGGATGTATACGTATATGTACAAAAAGGCATGTTATAACACAGGATAAAGGGAAGTGTTTTACGACCCAAAGTTCCCTAAGTCGAGCATTGTCCTATATCAGGGAAGTTGATAAGTTCTGTCAACACAAACTACACTCTTCAAAATGCTTTTGTTATTCAAAGGATTCGAACGATTTCGAACACGAAATTTTCTGTTCACGAGATTTTAAAAGCTCAGCGCACTCAGATACGTAACTATTTTTCAATATAGAATACTTTGAATTATGCAAATGAAAATCAGAGTACAGACCTATGAAGCAGAAATAGGTGGCATATAAACGGGCATATTGTGCCATCAAACCACGAATTGTGAAGAAAAAAAAGTTCAACTTATCTGTCTTGAACGTCGGAGATCAACTTTTGTCGTTTGCAAACGACACGGAAGAAAAGACCCAATTTAATCCATATTTTGCTGAAGCCATAATTGAGCTACTTTATTTTTATTGAGATCTTTCAAATACGCAGCTGCATGAAAACTAGATGTAAGCTGACTTAGGTACCTTGATGTCCGATTATACGGCAGAAGACTTGGTTCCGAATTAATCAAACTTCGTCCTAAGACTAGAGAAAATGTGCTTCGACCGTATTTCCTACACATTTCGACTACCGACATGTGCATTTATATCACATGCGACGTTTTTCTCAACTTTTGTCTTACTTGCGTTTTATAAAACAATTAAGCTTGATCGACTCTAGAAAACATCTCGCTACTGAGAAAATAGAACGCTTTGCGCGATAGAAACTGCTACTTTATGGAGTCAATCAAAAGGAATATATCAACATGGGCTGCTGGTAAGATTAAGACCTTTTGTTGATTATTTTTACTATTATTACTTCGGTATAAAATTTTTCGAACGTTTTTACGTACATTCTGTTACTTGCTTATCTATGAAGAACCGGTTACTCGATAACCGAATGTGCAAATTTCTGACTTCACTGTAATTTTGCTTTACAGCAACCAGGCCCTCCGAGCCCACACACTTCTAGCCCAGTACGTATTGCTATTTTCTCACAGTTGCAAGTACACCTCTGTTCTTTCATGATTGGTACATATATATAGATATATATAATTACTATACGGTACATTCAGTATCTAACAAAGTTTTCGTAAACTCTGGAAAATGTGTTCGCAACATTAAACACTTAGTGCTATCGGTGAACTTAATGGTAAGCAGGGTTATGATCCTACAGCTAAAAGCTACTGGCTAATTTTTCCTGCTCGAATAGTACGTAGCTAACGGTTCAAAGGTTTCAACAGCCTATTGAAACAATCAGCCGTCGTAATCTAAGGAACTAGGTTATTATTTCTGAAAAACGAACACAAATGATTGTATTCTACTGTCGACCTCGCTAGCGAGCAGACGCTACAAATAGAACACCATGCCTTGACAGCCATTCCAAAACACATTTTTTCTGAGATCCGCTGGTCGGTCGCGTTTCTCATGTTGCTGTTGGCCATCGAAGAAATCATAAGTACACGCCATCAACGACGAGCGATGGTTTGACACTGAAGAGGCTCCAGCACCCTGAAATATTAACTTTATAAAAAAAAACAAAGCTAACACAACCTTTATAATATTACCTGATTTGGTTTTAATCAATGATTGTTCGGTGCTATTCGAATCTATACATTATTAATAAAATAAAGTTTTTTTTTGTCCACATTGGTTTTCATCGTGCCACAGACAAGCCCCTAGCTATATCATAGCTAGGGGCTTGTCTGTGGCCCCTAGCTAGCCTAGGTACTAGGCTTTCATTCGTATTAATGCTGAGAGGATTCAGTGTTTGTAGCGAGACCACTCAAAACAGAGAGCCACGTAAACGGTACGATGCGTTGTGATTTACCCTTTTTATTATTAGAAAACGATCAGTCGTGTATCGGCGCAAGTTCTTTTCTTTCTTTCTTTTACTTTTTTTTTTTCTTTCTTTTTACTTTTTTCTTTCTCAATACATTTTTTTTTCAGCGGAAATAGTTCATATATTACGCATTTACAGCAGAAAGATATCCTGTTTACTTTACAGTGTTATGTCGAAATTATAATTTGATTCCTCAAGCGTAACGATGATCGCTTTATCTTTGCGAAGCACTGTAATCAGACTACTAAGGTATACGGGGGACGCATTTTTTTAAAGCGTTCAGTAAACCAATAGCAACAGCGGGTGCTGCCTGCCCATTTCAAAGACAATAGTATTTTTTTTTCACCTTGAATGTTTAAAGCATATACGCAGACACGCACCCATGTCTTCGCCATTATAGAGGTTAACGATGCGGCACAATTCTGGCTTATTTGGAAGAATGGGTAATTCCATTTCCATTAGTATACTGCGCGCGAACGAGCTCGTACTCAGGTCCCTACGACAATCAGCGACTTAAGGGCGCAGCACCACAGCATCAAACAGAACTCCATAGAGGAATTTGAATCTGCTTACCCTATCGAGGCTACATACCTGATCAACCAAGTATTGTATGCCCCGTTTCCAACATTGCTCGGGGGTCTTTTTCCTTAAAAATCCCCCTTCCAGGGGCCTCCGCTTCTACCGTACTTGCGCGACCAGGTGATAAAGGATGTTTGAGTTCATCCTATAGTAACAGCCTAGAACGTGCTGCACTTCGGGATGAGCAGGCGCCCAGCACACCGTTAGCACATGCTGGGCCGGAACCGGCCAGATAATGAGTACGAGGATTTTATAGCTGAAATTTACTCAATAAAGGGGTGCAGAGTGATAAAGCGACATCTTCGATTAAAAAAAAAAGCACTTAATTTGAGTTCGTCGCAGTTTTCTTGAGCCACTTTCGAAGAGATACTTCCCACTCCCCACTCCTAGAGAAACACGCCTTCAAAATGTCGTTCTTTCATACATGGGCCACTGAGATTTGTCTGACTGTGCTATTAAAGAAACTTAAGTGTTCCGTGTTTTACGTCCAGTATTAAGCCGTTAGGAATTCAGTCGGTTGTTTGGTTTGTGCCTCCAGATTCTAGCTTAGATTATCATAACGTGCCCCTATAATTAACAAGCAAACACGTTACAATGGGAATGTTATTCAAAAACAACCAGATAATTCACTCCAGACTGTCTGAGCAATACAGACGAAAATGTATAGTTTCTAATTGGGTATCTCTTGGCACGTTCCTTGGAAACAACAGCGAATAAGCTGTTCTGACATTAAAATTTACTTGAGATTCATCGTCGTTGTAGCAATTACGAATCGAGCAAGGTAATTCCGTAAAATTTTAGACAATCGGCTATTTTTAATTATTTCAGTAAAAATAAATGACGATTATTTTACGTATCTTCTCGCAGTATTAATGAATTTGAACGCGCGGGTACATAACCGTCGTTACTACATTAATAAAATGTTTGCATAAAGTTGCGGTTGAGCCATAGACCGATGCGTACGTCAGATTCTGAGATTTTATGCCATTTCGGCGTGCCTTCAGTTAATGGAGCCCGATTAATTATCGTTTAATTATAAGAAAAACGAGCATCGATACGGGCCGCTGCCGCCCTGACTCTGCTTTGCATTTAAGCTGTGATGAGAATACGCTTGCCCGAAATTTTCCACCGTTACTCTGAGAGTACTTCTGAACCCCTTTCGTTTTTTTACGCACGGTTTTTCGTGCGGTTTCGTATTTATTCCAAACCGCATTTTACTATCCATGCGTAAGTTTCCATAAGCTTAGCTAAATTCAACATCTGAAGTGATTTTAAACTTCTCAGGTTACTTCGAGCAAATTAAGTTAATTTTAACGGAAAAGTTTAAAGTGAGGTTGACTGGCGCCGCACGTTTCGTCGGTAATTTATTTCGTCTCACATATTGCATAGAATATTATAGTAGTGAAGAAAATTTAACATGTTAAAGCAAGTTCTTTCAATAAGACAGCGTCCCGCCACATACCATTGTGGGACTTGGTCAACCGCAAACCACAGTGCTTCCATTTCGTTGGAAGAAACTTGTTGTCCGATGTAAAAGCGTGCCTAGAATCCCTAACAGTAAAGTGCTATTGAACTTTCCGGGACCTTTGCACTTCCCGTAGGTCCTATGGTCGAGTCCATAAGATCTACTAGTGCAGACAAGCTCTTGCGGTACTAAACATCTGTGAAGCTAAGCCACCTCGCTTACATTCAAGCCTTCATTTCAAGCAGCTAAGACCATACATAAGGAAAATCATACCATGGTCCATTTCTTTGAAACGGTCTCTATCGTACAGAGTAATTATAAAAGCGGTTTTGTGCTTTTAGTAGCTCAGTCCAATAGGGGAATCGCCACAAAAAAAAAAAAGCTATTACCGAGTTATTTAGCTAACATACCTCTGGGAGCAATGCGATTATTCCAGACATAAAACAAAAAAAAAGGCAAAATGTCCATATATTTTTAGACATTCGTGGTATTAATATTGACATTAAACGTGAAACAATAAAGTGGCTAATACGTAAATCTAATGGGTCCTTATCGTCCAGTAAAACAATTTTCCTAACATTTTTGAAGAAAGGCAGGTGGTAGGTACTCTGATGACGGCAGGACATTTAATGTTCACCAGTTAAACGAAGCCTCATATATCGAAGTATGCTCATATATAAACCCCATGATACGCATACAGTGCATAAGCCAAGTAAACTATAACCATCCTAAACCCTATAGGAGAGCCTTGACAAAATGGGAATATAGTATTTCTTTTTTGGTGGTGCGTAAAAATATTTTCTTTATTCAGAAGGCACCATATCAATCCTTTATTGGCGCAAGCTGAACTTACTGGATACTACGGCTTTGCAACCTCGGAAGGAAATATCTAGGCCAACTCAAGGCATTTAGGAAGTGAAGTATGATGCATTTATGGAGTCTTCGGCACACGACCTGATTAAGGTAAAAACTCTAATGCTAAAGATGCTTAAGCTTAGTCATTTAATTGTATGCAGTACTATGCATATTCGTTTTAATCCAGGCCCTCAGAAACATAACGCCACATATGTATTCGACGTTTATGCTCTTTAACGGAGGAATCGCTGATACGACTACGTTCGACAGAGCATTTTTACGAGCGACGGTTCTAATGGCAGCTCAGCTGAATTGCGTCTTCATTGCATGCTACCATAAGTGGATCTCTTGGTGGTGACATTGGGCTATCCTAGCAACCAAAGTCGTGTGGTGGAGAAAGTGAGCGTTCGCAATCGACATCATGAGGCCATATCTAGCCGAGGTCCAAGTTTAGAAAGCGCTTTGTTCTTTTTTTTATCAAACAAAGGTTACAATCTGATCTTCAATTCAAGTGTTCCATGCTAGCTGAATTGTTATGTCCTGAATTTGAAGGGATTCGACAATGCGTTTGCGGCTATCTTTCTATTCTGTTTTCCCCCTGAAATTCTGTCGGCAGGATCTTCCCTACATTCGGGAATAACACAAATGCATTAGCAGCATATTACATTATCTTTACTATATCGACTTCAGATACGGTTCGGCGGATCTCTATGCTTTGTTTTAATTACGCAGAAAAAAAACTATCAGTCGACGTGCAAAATCATTATCCATTCGCTGTTAGCTTCGGAGCAAGTTAAATCGATCTTGATTTGATCGCTTGGCAATAATATTCCGTAACGCTCTCCGAGTATTTAGTGAGTACTACTTTTTAGGCTTCATTACATATACAGGTATTCAAGGATGACCCGTCAATTCTGATGCTTACTCTATCCTCTGCACAGTAAACTTGGGATGTTAAATCCATTAAAATGTACCGAAATTACTGGCGCTGCCATTGAGTCCACAAATGCATCATACTTCACTTCCTAAATGCCGAAATACAGAGTGAAATATGACAGGAGCTACGTCATTGTGCGTTGGACCTATTTAGCTTCGCCCAAAGCAATTGCTAAGCAGTATTGCACCCCCACTCCTGTCCATATACATCCAGTGCAGTTCCTATTTACTTTGCCAGTCTAATTCTATTCATTTGGAATGGAACGGCACGATCACTGTACGTAACTAACCAAAGAGGTTGAAATTGACAATTCTGACACGGGTGAATACGAGACATCTTCTCTCTGTTAATAGGTTCGAGGTCTCGATCGCGTACCACCGATGTCCCGTAAGCTTATGTAGTGCACCATTTGACTACCAGAGTATGTTCTGGATTTTCGACATCCAAGCGTTGACTATTACTGTAGCCCTTCGAATGACGATGTTTCGTAAATATATATATATAGCAAGTAATAACGGCAATACTAAGTATGTGATTTTTATGCGTAAATTTAGAAATAATAGTAAATTCACATAGCACAAGAATATATTGTGGGATTGATAACATTCCAAAGTTACGAAATCCAAAATGGACGAAAACCAAAATTGGGTCGCACCGATCAGGCTCGTATTGCATGTCTATCTACCTCTAATGTTTGAACTGATATGCCTGATAATAATAATAATAATAATAGAGAAACTTAATTGTTTGTTCTAGATAAAAAGAGCGAGCGTAAATATTACGACAAAAAGCGTCGCTTCGGAAAAGTCTTCCGCTACATCAACTGAACCCAGCAAAGAGTACGACATCTTGGTTCGTATCGTCATGGCCACTATCGCCATCATCATTAAGGCTTATTTGCATTTCACACTGGACCGTTGAAACGATTTGACCTAAAGCAGCCAAACTGTAATATGAAGCACGGTAACAGATAAGTGAAGATCATTCTTCATTGATCATTATCAATGTTTACGGGGACGGTAGTTAAATATTCACAACAAGACTACTAGGAACTCCTAAAAACGTTCGTTTTCGTCCGTTGACGGACTTACTTACACCAAGCAAGAAAAGTGCGAACATAAGTTAATGTTTCGTTATGCAAACAATTTACATAATACTGCCGCCGAAACCATGTTAGAGAAAAGGGACTGTCAAGGTTCTGTATATTAGATAGTAATGTAATGTAATGCAAAACAAATGTAGATTAATTATCTATCGGGAACGGGGGCATCGGTGTTTAGTTCCTTTTCTTTATTTGACACTTTTAATTCGACTATAGTTATAATCAAGTTAATTGTGTGTACTGTATTCATACTCAAGGCAGTGTTACTAAGTCACGTGTAAAATATTTACTAAGGGTATCACCGGAGACAACAGATTCTACTTTAACGGTTCAGTAGCTTGAGTTTTTTTTTTTCTTTTTTTTTTTGCTGCACAAATGTTTAACGAGAAGATTGTTGTAAAGTTGTCAGTATAAGATGGAACGGGTAAAACTTGTAAAATTTTAACTGAAACGCCGTATAATTATAAATTTTTAACGGAATTTCTAAAAAAAACCTATACATTTCCACTATTTCTTTTGGGGTATATAAACGTTCCACCATTGAACTTAACGGCAAACGTGTCATCATTGTTCCATACCTTCGTTATATTGTGTTTTCCTCACCGATATCGAACTATTTAAGAGCTTCAATATTTGAGTATTTTGACAAAAATACACAGGTTTGTAGGGCGACACCTCCCCTTCCCCCCCCCCCCCCTCCGCCAATTAATAGAGGCAGATGCGACAAAACGGAGTAAGATTAGCAGAATATATCAAACCCTTATTTCCGGAGGGAAAATTCAGACCAGAATTTTATTTAAGGATAATTTACTTTCCGTAGCCTAAAACTGATTCTCAAGGTAATCAACTTTGAAGCGTTAAAAAAAAATGGCCCCCATTAGATAGGGCGATACGAGAGACTGTTTTGTACAAATGAGCCGGTCATATCGAAGAATTCAAAAGGAAATGACCTTTTTTCAGTACTGTCTTGTTATAGCTTGTCGTAAAATTTTGCTAGGCAGCTGAAAGAAAGAGAAAACGCCCTAGGCCTCTTTAGGCCGAAAGTACTATTTGTTACTAGGCCGGTTTTGTTTTTTGTCGTCCCTAGAGCGGTCATGCGTATCTTTATGAATGGCACAAATAACGTGTACGTTGCTACATTGAGGTAAAATGGAGTGTCCATGTTTTGAGCAAACACCCTCATTTTCAGTCCGCTGAGCGATAAAACAGAAACTACTTGATTATCTTGTTTCATTGATGAACTAGGATCGTTCGAGTAGTTCAGAAATAGATAGCTGATTTAACTTTTCGGTATAAAAAAAATATCAAACAATTCACAAAGCATACATAGACGTACGCACGCACGCTAAAAAAAAATGCAGAGCTGTTTAAGTGCGTCCATTTTTAGAACTTCGCTCCGTTGCCTGAACATATGGCCTGTCTTGTATAATTCCCATTTCGGCGTATTTAGAAAATGTTGGTTATACGGTTTTAGTTAATGAGATAGAGCTCTACTACTGACTAGGCCCCAGTCGATGTTAAACTGAAGTTACAAAAATATTCTAGCACGCTTTTCTGTTTGCAGTAAAAATAATCTGACTCAACGAACGTCGGTTCAGAGACGTTTATATGCGCTCCACCCTGAAACGAATCAACATCTGTTAGGTACATAAACCATATTTAGAGACAAATAAAGGTCTACAATTGTCGATGTCGGCTTTTCTTTTTGAATCAACAAGAAGAACTTGGACAACTGCATGCCCAATGTTGGCTTGCTTTGTACGGATGGCTGACACCGCGTGCAGCTCCAAAGCAGCGGAATTACTCGCAGTCGCATGTTGCTTTTTTGGTCGGGTCAAGACCCAACATTTTTTGGTTTTTTCCGAAACGGGACGTCATAGACAAAAGATATTTTGTTGTCAATCCATCGTTGGCTACCCTATGTTTCCGATAGGTTTTCGCGAGAAAAAACGCAGTCTTTGGCTAAGATTCTATTTATGGCATCTTACAAGTGCGACTCTTTTCATGTTTAGCGTATCATCGAACATTTTTTTAAGTGCCATAAAAACGGATACACGCTCTTTTTAGTTCTTTGGAATCATCGAAAATTCTTAACGCTTGACTAGGCTATAATGTAAGTGTATCCATAAGCACGTATCCTGTCACTCCATTGTCCTGCGAACCTGGTATTTCTAGGAACGTCGGAAACATAATCAGCCAGATTGGAGTGTTTAGGGTGGCAAACTCTCCTTGTAAGCCCTTTTCCATAGTTTTCTTAGATAATATAGGACCACAGGCCATTCAAAAAATTAGAATAACCGTGACCTGCCGGCCTCAGGACGGAATATTGTAAAGAAGAGTGTTTGTTACAAACTGCTAGTCTTCTTAACAAAGACAGGCCTTAGTCGGTTTTTTTGCTAGCCGTAATCGAGGGCCCATTGCCAAAACGGACGCTACTGCTAGTCGTCGTATTCATGGATTCCAAGGCGGCAACCGAATCAGAGCATTTCTGAAGTTTCCGGCAGGTGAAAAATCCGTACAAAAATTCTAAAGCTTATAATGATTATCGTTCGGGAAAACCAAATAAGAATCGGCGCAGCAGCATTTAGCCCCTTTCCTCAAACCAAAAGGACTGCGTAAAAAGATAACCTTAATCCCTATTTAAAAGCCTACCAGCGAACTTAAGAAACCCTGTGAAGGTAACCTTGAGCGTCAATAGTCTAATTATCCTTAAAACAGCCGTTTCCAGGCCCAACGCGCGTAGGATTGCAAGTTGCTTTGGAAAAACTGGTCTTAGCTGTGACTACACGAGGCTCTAGCGACAAAGTCGTTTCCGTCATGTTTTCTCCTTTGTTTCTACATGTAGCGGTGTCGTAAGATATTTAGCGTAATTGACACAAGCCATAAGAAACATGTGCCTAATGTCTGATCGACAGCATCAGAGTGGGTATTTGAGTTTTCTATTCATTTCGTCTTTAATCTCGTGTGCATTTAGGCGTTGGTTAAAGGCTTGAAGCATATGAAATTACCGCAGATTAGTCCACCGCAAAATAAGATCGCAATGATTAACCCGTATCTAAATGCCGCTGACCCAGTAAATCAACTGGACCCCAGGCTCTCCGTTTCAAAGAAAAAGCCCAAAAGTGCCAGAAAACGAAGACCTCGAAGATCAAAATCCAAAAGAAGACGCAGCTGCAGAGTAAGAGGCTCCGTGACACATCGTCGCCGACAGGCAAGATATTTAATTGTATATGATAATACGCGGTATATGTAATTTTCACTTGTGCGTCTGCTTTGAGCATCCTATCGAAAATTTTTATTAATTTCACTGTATTAGCCTGCGATGTAGCCATAGATATGAAATATCAAATCTCAAAAATGAAATCCTCAACACTATATGGCAAAGTTTAGCTTTGTTAGGCTTAATTCCCTGAGCTAAATATCAATGACACCAGAAAAAGATATCAGGGCTAACGTTATGATTGGTCTAATAGCCTTTGCCTATTCAGACGCAGCATTGGCTTATACATCAGATAAAATGACTGTTGTGATGGATCACAGTGAGTACTAGTTCTGAGATTTACGGCTTACTAACACCTGAACTTTAGCCTAGCCAAGTTAAAAATTGAACTGAAAACTTAAGTTGGCCTTCGACCCAGTTCCCAGCACCAACCCACAGATTAACTGTAATCTAATGTTTTATCATACTCTGACTGCAGGCGGCCGAACCACGTCGCGATCGTACGTGAAGCGAGAAGTCGTGCGAAGCTTTCGCGGTTTCCATGAATGAAATAAGCAGCAAAATGCTCTTTCGGGTCGGGCATGCGTACAAATCAATGTCTGACCATTTGTTACTAGACGGTACAACGAAAGATCGGTGTACACAAGAGATAAATTCAAATAACATTGCGAATTTATGCAAAATATGTGGGAGTCGTTGTTGCAAATAAAATTATCAAATTGCTTTAATTGAACGTATGTCCTTAGCGAAAAAGTGCCACTTGGGCCAAGCACCCGTGCATTTTCGTCTATGAGTCTTTATAAATAGTTTCAATTCAAAAAAAAAGAAAAACTCAAAAGCTAGGGTGCAATGGATGAACGCCTTCCAGCCAAGCTTTGTCCTTATATCCTAAAAAAAGACTCGAAACGAGTCTTCTAGGATATTCTGCTTCTAGGATATTCCCTACCTTTCAAGTTTCTCGCCGTCGAAATTTTCAAAATCGAGCTAGCTGAAGACACGGAAATTTAGTCTCACCTCATTTTTTAGATTATGCCAGCCAAAAATCAGCTAAAATTTCCATAACAAGTTGTATTCAAAACTAGTGAAAAGCAAATTTTACGGGAGTCTCTTCGGAGGAGAAGAGTATTTGTTACAATTTATTTTTTTCAAGATGATAATTAGGTATTCTATTATTATTAATAATCTCCCTGATAAACTACCGCTGCCCTAATTACTGAACTAATTTCATATGAAAATTTCTTTCGTTTTGAAATCACGATAGCTTCCTTTATTGATCATTCAACTTGGTCTTTTCGCATTTATTCTGCTTCATTATTAAGAGGACAAGCCAGAATCCTCTGGCAATGTTCTCCTATCGATTTGCTTTATTTTCTGTTTGTTTTTTTTCGTTCTAGTACATTCTTAATACAACATTAGCAATCACAGGCCTCCCTCTCATCAAGAGCGGGACTACTCTTGAAGTTCTAAATAATAATAAAAATATAACTATAGTTAAAGTTACGGTAAAATTTGTTTTTCGTTACCCTTTGTGTGTGTTCCGCATTCGCATTATCTCCACGAGTGCATATTCTGTACAGTAAAGATTCATGTGTTTGTCCATTCATCATCTTCTAATAATAATAATAAAAGTAATATTTCGTCTTGAAGGAATCAGTCAAATGATCGCGCGGGAATGAATTTTCGTTGGTGGCATATTGTTGAGTGTTGAGATTTTTTTCTATGCAAATTGTTATTGCCGTTTGCCCTTTTTGTCTAAATGACAACAAAAATCCACTTTTAAACACAATAAATACACACATAAAAAATCATTTTCAATAAATGCTTCGTTTTAGATATCGTTATTTTAGACGATTGCTTCATTCATAGAGCTTCATACGTCCGTTAGCCTAAGTTACTCATTACTTACGATAATTTAGAGCTTCATCGCCTACTAGAAGATTTTATCTTGTTGGAACTCTACATACGAAGTAAGCATCTAGAACATCCTACGTTGTCGCTTCCGGCTTAAACGCTACCGAACTTCGTGTTATCAATTGTTGTTCTAGCAAAGAAACCGTATCGATTTCCTCTGTAGTTTTCGTCATTTTTCCACCCAAATATGCATTTTAATAACTTTGGGTAATTTATGTGTGTGTGTGTGTGTGTGTGTGTGTGTGTGACTGAAGTAATAAATGACTCCAAGTGCAACGCCCGTCCTCAGAAAAAAAATTCGCCAAATAAAGTTAAATATAAACGCTCGCTTTTCATCTAGTTCTGCAGTGTCCGGTATCGACTCATACCTGATAGCAATACTTTCATCGATATATAGATACGGTATGTGGTTTGTTCGAGGAAGACATGGCGCCTAATACATATATATCTCTCGTCTCCGTTCCAGTATACGCTCTCTCCCACATTATCATAGTCGTCCTTTATCATCTATTCTATTTTAGCTAAAATTATTAATCTTTGTTTGCTATTTACACACAGAGACTTCAAAGAACGCTTCTATCTCTTCCGTTCGCCAAGTCTACCAACCACAGATAGTGAAACGCCTTCCAGCGTTCATCCCAACCTATATCGCAGCACACAGTCATTTCTGGCTACCCCATGGGAATGCGAATTCTGCACCGGTTGCTGGATAACACCATACCGATACCGGCGACGGCCGCGGGGCCAGCAACTGCCACCAGCACCGTCACCGCTGTTTTTCCTATGGCGCGATAATTGGAATGCACATTTTCTCGTACCGTCTCGTATTGTCGAATTTCTTCGATTAATAATGGTAATAGATACGAATTATTCTAATACAAACACTAACAGGGGAGGTAAAAAAAAAATCGTTTCAAACCTGTTCACAATAGATCTCTTTTTCTGCAAATGTATAGGTCACGTTACGTTTCTCAAGTTCATTTAAATGTAACACCTTTTTGTTAATATAATTTTCGTCAACGGTAGCACGGCGTTGGTGGGTTTGCCCGTCCGTTGTAACTCGTTCGTCCTTCTGGGCTGTGTTATGTATGCTTATGCACGGATGTGTATCTTTCTTAACGGTAGTACTTCGTTCGACCTTTCATATCGTCTATTTCACCCTGTGTTGCTCCAGCCACCCAACTCCGATGGTGCCAAGACGTAAACTTCTTTTAGTTCGTCATCTCCTAACAGACCAGTTATTATATAGGTAGCAAGCTACATTGCATCATTAACTTGCCTGCAACAAAATAATATAGGGATTCGATATTATATTTATACAGTGATCTTATTCGCATTACGTTACTTCTAACTTGGCTCAAGCTTTGCTTTGTTGTATATTGCCACTTGTTGATTGCATCCTGTTATTTTCCTTGTAGAATGACTTCGTATGACTCGAATGTGACGAATCAATTATAATCTATCTCGGTTCATGTGTGCCCGTTGTCCTGGTCGATCGACCCCAGGTCGATACAAGCCATCGTCAATTTCATCCCACCATCTAACTGATCGCCAGCATTTCTATTGTCCTATCACACGTTTACTTGTGGACATTAATCTAATTCTAAAGTGTCATCGCCCATAGCTACGGGCTGATCATCTTCCATGCAACAACCCAACCCACATGTAGTGTCCATATTTGATCGCTGTTTATTTTTACGATTTCAGCCTATTTTACATTCGATTTAATACGGTTCCATACCTTTACAACTGTGATTAGCAACCTCGTTGTCATATAGACTCCCAATCCCGATGTTGTTTTCTAGCTTATAGTTTCAAAAACGAAATCCGCCGATCGTAATCTATGAAAGCGTTATTTTAGACTGTTCTAATCAATTCTACATCCATTTTTATATCTACGCCGGTAGATGCTGGTTGCTTTAACGACGATGCGGAGCTGATTTTCTACTCGGTTTCGTTGGTGTAGTTGGTTTTTTTTCGATTTGCTAACTGTTTGTTTTGCGCCGAGGCTCTAAGCCTCGGAAGCATCTTCCTCGACCAACATGGCCGTATCTTTGTCGGTGTCCTTTGACGTTGGATTGAGCGCTTTTTTCTTGAACTTCAGCTGAGGACTGCTCATCTGCGTAATTACGGACGGCGTCAGGATCGCTGAGCCCGATGTGCCCGACCCAGATATCGCAATACCGGAAACATCCTCGACAAGTGGCTTTCCGTCACCTGGCACCGTGCCCAGCGCGTCGTACATTGGGTTGGCGAAATCTGTGGGCTGTTTGACATCGCCGAGATTGAATTCACCTCCGTCGATTGGATCCTGTATAAAAATAGTAACAGCGGCAACGGTAAATAAGGTTTCCAGCGTAAGTTTGTCAGCCAGGCAAAGGCACTCATAACTTGAACTGAAACTATCGGCTGTCTTCGTTTCTGTTCGAGGATGTTTTTTCTGTCCAATCACTCCCGTCATTAGCGTCATATATATCATCATCATCATCATCATCGGCGGGCTTGAGGCAGCAGCAGCTTTTAAATTCCCAAGCCAAACGTCTAGTCCTTCAAAACTAAGGGCTTTGCGCTAATGTACGATATTACTTGGTAACAAGCAATTTATTCTATAGCATGTTTGTTAAGGCAAAATTAGTAAAACAACTTCTCTGCTATCTTATTTTTTTCGTGTAAATTATTTTTCTTAAGTGTTTATTCTTATTGTATTTTCTGTAAATGATGGTGGCTATCAACATTTAGTTATATGATACAAGTGCTACTCACTCCATTGGGTTCATTTCTGGCCGACCGCATAAAGTGTGATGAGAAGTCAACGCCTCCACCACCGAAAGACACGCTCGGGTTACCCCCGTAACCGTTGGCAGTTTTACTGAAATGACGAGAACAGTTAAGTCGTAGCAACTGTATTATTTTCTGTTCTATTCGCCTACAACATGCCACGAGTCCTGATGATCCTCGAGACGAACCCCTAGCTCTTGACATTCAACATTGAAATGATTTCGTGTTAAAACTAAATCATGTATATTTTCTATTGTTGAAATAATCTTATTTAGGTATCTGCCGCCCAGCAACTATTTATTTACGCATCACTATGTTATCATTGGGGAACTTTGCCCACTGCAGTTTTTACGACAGCGAATTGGCTATATTACGTTTTACGTAGATGCAACGCAGAAGTACATCACGGTAGCAGCAATGGAGACAATTGAAATTCTTGATCAAAGTAAATTAAAAAATACTATATATATATATATATATATATATATATATATATATATATATATATATATAAGGACAAAATTCAGTAGTAAGCTTAAACAAGTACTTACAATTGCGTCTTGCGGAATGCAACAAATAATGCGGCGCCTCCGACCATTAAAATAAGGACGATAATGATTGGGGTCATGATCGCAGCGATATCTGAAGTTGTATAAGAGTCATTGAAATTTGTTAACAGAGGTGTGTTTCTGTCCATAGACGCAAGAACTTCGATTCGTTGAAGCTTTAATTGCATAAGGTTGTTAACGCGTGAGGAATTCTAGTTTCGTTACATTGGTGCTAGCAATAGCGTACCTAAGTACCATACTCCTTGACAGACTGGAATTGCATCAAATTGACTACACCGATTATATGCTATTGTTCGATATATGCCGATATGTTTCCTAATTCAAATTCTACCGTAATAGCCTTTGGAGAAATCAGTAGAAGACACAGAGGTCTTCTATTGATTTCTTCATTTTAAGTATTACTGTGAAAAAAAAGTACGTACATATAATAAATACCGACACGAAGTTAATGTTTACATAAAAATATACGATCCTACAAATTTGTACACATACTGTTGTTATTGGTGGCAATTAACCGCGTTTTAGCGACGAAGTTCTCGCAGTGCGTTCCCTCAAAGTCTTCGGAGCATTTGCAGACCGCGTTGTCCCTAGAGACCGACGTACACATGCCTCCGTTCAGACAAGGACACCTAATACAAGCATTAAAATAGACATTAACCATTTTTTCACCGCTACCCCAGTCGACGCAACCTAATCAAATTCATTACAAAGCTAGGAGCCCTGATTCTGTATAGGGAAGCAGGAAAGACCTTGATTACATCCAATAGTTCTCACCTATACGGAGCTGCTTTTGGCTGCTCAAAGGCAGCATCACACTTCTGTAAGTTCAGGTTTTTATTGGAAATTCCGTCTGGACATGAGCAGCGATAGCCCCGAGGTACGAGCAGACAGGTATGACTGCACCCGGCGGAAGCGCATCTGTTCTCAATCGATGTGTTGTATTTGACGTCCTGCAAATAACATACATATGTTTATATATACATATTATGTTAGCCATAATGAAATAGTTGGCAAAATTGCACTTTTACCGGTAATCATCAACGGCCTCAGCTTAAAGTTGTTATGTTAAGTAAAAAAAAAGATACGCACCATATTTATTAGTAGACTAGAAAACGTTTTAAAGCCTTTTGTCCAAACAATAACATCCGAAGGCCCTTGAAGTTTAGTAAATACAGAATAACAATTGAAAAAGCTAATTAATTTGCAATTAATCACTACCGAATATACTTACCTGATATATTCGTAGGGCACTCGCGAACTCGAGACCGCCGCGCACCAGAACTCGGACTCCGCGGCCGAACTTATTCATTCGGAAGATATCGCCACGATCCTTGTCCTTCCAGTTGACCCAATAAAAAGAATCGCCGAATACCTCTAGGCCAATTGGATGGGCGACATCTGTAGGCCAACGAGACAAAGGAAGTACCGGTTTTCGTTTTTTATCGAGATTTTGCCTGTCCAACTAGCACCGTTTGTTTGTGCATAAGTTAATATTGATCGAATTTCTATCTACTATTATCGCTACTAATTCATTTTCGTGTTCACAGAGCGTTCTATTATTTTATAGGCTCAATGGCCAAGTTATCATAGGATTTATATCAATATTCCATTACTTGGTTGCACGTTGAAAACAAGAAAAATCTTGCTAGGGTGTATCTACCGTTTTTAATAACAACAACCCGATTAGACCCATCAGGTTTGGCGGTTTCGATCGTGTTAAGTTTATGATCGGCCCAGTAGATCCTTTTATCGCCGGCGAGGTAATCGATCGTGATACTTGCGGGAGCTGCCAGGCGAGATTTGAATAGCGTTTGACGCCGGCTGCCGTCCATCCACGATGTTTCGATCTAAAGCGAAGTAAGCGAGCCAATTTTTAAATCATATTACATGACATAGATCCTCAGGCAATCATGAGTACGTTCTTAACTGTGGCAGGTTAAGGTTTCCATGCTTTGAAAGGAAGCCGTAAATAACACTGGGTTAGCGAAGAACAAGCTTGGGAAAGAAAGTATGAGAGGTTTGTTAAAGAGGAGACAAAAGTTCAGCTCTTTAGCACTGATTCGTACTTTAGGATTGATGCCGATATCTGTCCAAAATAGAACTCCACTTTCAGGATCAAGTGCCACTGACGTCGGAGCCTCGATGTCGAGGTCGTGTAGAGTTCGTCGGTATCTTCCGTCAAGTGTGGCGACCATCAAGCGTCCTTTGGGTGCTCGGTTTTCGAAAGATTCCTGATCCATGAGGTAAAGGTTGTGGGCAACCCAGTCAACTGCCACGGCCGTGGGTTTGTTCAAGCCTAGACCACGATTACAGAGCGAACATAATTTTACCGTTTTTCACCAACGGACAAATATTACAAGCCGTGGCTCAAAAATGTGTATTTATAAATGTCTGAACGAAATCAACTAATTAATACAAGAAGCAAGGTGCTGCAGCAATCAATATTGTATTAAATAAAAATATGTCTATCGTACGCTTATTTATTCATTATAAAATATAATTAACTTTCGCTGAAACTTACCACTTAACTGCAAATCCTGCGGATATTGCGCGCCAAGTTTTTCCGGATCCCTTTCTAGATCTGGAATGATCGCTCGTTTAACTGATTTATCAGATCGATCCACCCAATAAACGAACTTCTCCACTGGGTCATAGTCGAGCCCCTCTATACGTCCCTGGTCAGCCACCAAATCGATCTGTTTATGTGACTCTGCGGACTGAATAACCAAGCGGATTGAGCGTTCACTCGTATACATTATAACAGGTGGGGCGCCGTTCTTCGGATGACACTCCATGTGGACGCGTTCGAATCTATTAGATTCGGAATAAATAGTCAATTGGAATATTAATAAATATTTTAGTCAGCGTTAGAGGATGGACTTTTGCAATCTAACTCAGTCGTACATGTTCGGCCTCTATCTTTAAGCAAAACGAACTAAGCGAACGAAGATCTCATCATCATCATCATGATGTCCGTCTGAATACGTCCTGCGCGTAATAGGATGAATAGTCAATACAATATTCTAGGCACGTCCTTAAGCCCACATTGGGACGATTGCTTTGATTTTGCCTGCTTCTTACCCTTTCCTGCAGGTACAGCCATAGCTGCCCTCGAGATTATGACAGAGCTGTGAGCAGTAGTGATCAAAAGTGGAGCACTCATCGATATCTTCGCAAATTTTCGTATTGGTAGCATTTATGCGGTAGCCACTAGGACATGTACATAGATAGTCGTGTCTTGAATTTGCGCTCAACGAGGTGCAGTTATGTTCACAGCCGCCCTTTGTCTGCTTATTGCATTCACCCACCTCTGTAAATTATAGGCATGCTTGTAGTTATATATATATATATATATGTACATATAATAACGGTAATACATATATGCCGAGTCGTAATGCTCCTATTCAAGCTAATCGTCAACAGATATTGGTCAGCTGTGTAGCGATGTAAGGCTCGATCAGTTTTAGAACACAACTTAAGTTGCTAGTTAAATGTAAGTAACAGAAGATGGAACTTACGACATCCAAGTTCGTCAGAGTGGTCATCGCAATCGAGATTATGGTCACACACCTGTAAACAGAACGCGCATAAAAATGTATTACACAGAGTTTCTAGGTTTTGTAGGATTTTAGATTGCCTCAATTATACCTGTATACAGTAGTTTCTAAATATATCATACTGTTCTGACCGCGGACTGCTTTTCAAATCTGAACGAAATGATAATTTTCTAGGATTAAAGTAATTGAATAATAATAACTCCTCGATGTCTATTAACTGACCTTGCTGTTCTCTATGCAGTGGCGACCGCCTGCACACTTAAATTTGCCAGCCGCACAGACCAGCGGTCCTCGAAGTCGATCGCAGAGTTGAAACGAATTTTCATCAGATCCGTCCCCGCAGTCATCTTTGCCATCACAAAGTTGCCATAGCATGACGCAGGCACGATTGGTGCATTGGAACTTCCTCGTCACATCGCACTCGTGTTGTTGACAGGTGGCTTCAGTCTCATCCGACGAATCACCACAGTCGTCATCCCGATCACAGACATAATCTGGCTTGATGCAGACGGTGTTATTGCACTGGAACTGATTAGGTGAACAGTGTCTTCCGTTGGGATACCGCGGCGGACAATTACGTTCGTCTGAAACATCCCGACAGTCCTTGTTACCGTCACAAACGAGGCTGGCAGCGATACAATGGCCACTCGCACACTGGAATTGATCGGGTCGACATTTGTGATCGCCACAGTTTTGTTCGTCAGAGCCGTCGTCACAGTCCGTGTCGTGGTCACACCGCCACTTACGTGGGATGCATCGTTTGTTAGCGCATTGAAATTCGCTTTCAGAACAATCCCGATAGAGATCTTCGCAGAGGGATGCCTCTTCATCGGAACCGTCGCCACAGTCATCCTCGAAATCGCACCGCCATCGCAGCGGTATACAACGGCCATTGCCACATTTGAAGTCGCCAGTGGGATGGCACTGAGGACACGCCTCGGGGTTCGTTTCATCCGAATTGTCCCTGTGGAACAATGGCAAATGATAAGATGATCGAGGATTGTAGCTATTGTCTTTGGCGGAAAAACGAAAGGGGTGATGGCGACGGAATTTATGTCCGTTATAAACGTCCAGGAGCCGGCTATTATCAAATGGATTCAGTGAGTTTAATGTGTATGGCTTCCACTTACCGACAGTCATCTTTTCCGTCACAGAATAGCCAGGACGGAACGCAGCGATAGTTGTTGGGAGATGGACATTTCTGCCAGCCAACGGTACAATTTTGGTTTCGACATCGATGAGCTGGTTCATCCGAATCATCGCCACAATCGTTGTCAAAATCGCAATACCAAAGTTTCGGAATACATTTGCCGTTGTCACCTGGCATAGAATGTTATTACACAATAATTTGATGCGTATAAAGTATACGATAGTACGTAAAGCGTTGAACAATTATAAATTTCAAATAGGTTTTTCCACTAAAGTAAAAAGGCTTGCATGTGCTTACATTTAAACTGGGTTTCGGGGTCGCATTGTCCATGGTTGCAGATGGCTGTATTTTCGTCAGATCCATCTGAACAGTCGTTATCGCCATCACATTGCCAAGAGGAAGGTACGCATTTGCCGGTGGCCTCACACTTGAAGCTGTTTTCTCCGCAAGGTAGTTTACAATTATTCTCGTCATAACCGTCGGGACAGTCTCTTTGTCCGTCACAGACCTTGATCCGTGACACACATACGGTATCCGTCGTTGAGGGACATTGAAACTGACCCTTTTTGCATTTGAACGGCGGGCAGCCATCCTCGTCGGTGCCGTCTGAACAGTCTTTTTCACCGTCACATTTCCAGTACAGCGGTATACACTTCTCATCGTCAAGGCCTTTACAACGGTGTTGGCTGATCGTGCAGTTTGCGATGCACGTCCGATTGTTTGGCATCAAGACAAAGTCTTCGGGACAGGCGCAACGGTGCTCAGCTGGAAACTTGATGCCGGCAGGATTCGGCGATAGCAGACAGAGATGCGAACATTGACCGTTATTCATTTCGCATGGATTGCTGTACGGCAGTTGACGCAGAGGATGGTACACGTGAATATCGTACGGTCGATGCGACGTGTTGCGGAGGACCTGAAGGCCTTCTCCGGTAAACTTGTGCGCTCTATAGATGCCTTTCATGTTCCAGTCTGTCCAAAAGAGCCAGTCGTCAAAGATCGACAGTGCGAACACGTGTGGCACCTTCTGGCCCGAAAGAACCGTGTGGCGATTTTTGCCCTCGAAGTCCGCGTACTCGATATAGTCGAGGTGAGCATCGGCCCAGAAGATCTTGTCGGAGAAATAGTCCACGGTAAGTGCATTAGGCCAAACGAGCTTGTCTGCATAGGTTACCAGCCGAGTGAAGTTTGAACCGTCCATACCGAGTCGAGCGATGAACGCATGATGACCCCAGTCCGTAAAGAACAAACATCCGATACCTGGATGGACAACAACTGCTCGAGGATCAGAGATGCCTCGCGGAAGCAACACCTTTCTCGAGGTGCCGTTTAGGTGCGATACGAACAGTTGTTTGCTCGTTCTGTCCAGCCAATACAGTTTACGTGTAACCCAATCAACGGCCATACCTTCCAGGCCGTGTACATCGTACTTTACCACGACCTCTTCGCCTGTTCCGTTGACAAACATGCGATGAATGGTTTTATTACCAACATCGGCATAATAAATTCGCTCCTCTTTGACGTCGAAGTCAATGGCTACCGCATTTCGAAGATCCATCTTGACAAGGTTGTATTGCGTCCCATCAATCGAGGCGTTGCGCAGGTAATATCGATTCGAAAATATAACCCATGGCTCCGGTTTCGTCTGTAAACGCTTGCATTTGTGGCCATCCGGCTCACGACCATAGTAGCGATCGTTACATTTGCAAAAGAACGATCCGGGTGTATTAACACAGCTCTGAGAGCATACCGCCAATTGCTCGGAACATTCATCTATGTCGGTGCATAGTTTACCGTCAGGCATGAGCTTATAGCCGGGATTGCACTGACAACGGTAAGCAAGCAGTGTATCAACACACATATGCTCACAGCCGTTACTTTCGGGGGTGGCACATTCGTTGATGCCGCAACGCATCGACTCATCGGAACCATCTCGACAGTCACGCGTTTTATCGCAGACCTTCGTAAGCGGTATACATTGGTCACCTGTTCGACATTTGTACTGAGTGTCTTCGTCGCATGTCGAATTGTTAGCACATTCTACAATCAGACAAAATAACAGTGAGATCGCTGTGTAGATATAAACATTCGAGAATAATTAGATAAAATCAGGACTTGAATTCTGATCACGAGAAATTAATCTCTGGCAGAGTTCGATAGTAAACTATTAGCGAAACTGGCGTCGCACGACGTTTGCCTCGTCTATGGACAAAGAGTTATTCTCGATGATACGAATTTACGCTGTCGTTGCTTTCAACTTGCCGGCTAACATGTAATCTATGGGATGCTTGCACGATTTTACTTACTCAGCTCATCGGAACGATCACCGCAATCGTCTTCGCCATCACAAACGTAATTTTTGCGAATACATTTTGAGTTTCTGCAGGTAAACTCATCAGAGGTACACGATCGGAACTTGCATTCTTTCGGCTCGTCAGATCCGTCGCCACAGTCATTGTCGTGATCACAATACCTGAATAGAACAAATAGGAAAAGGCGACTGTTTTTTCAACGAGTCTCCAATAAAACCGTAACGAACTTAAAGTGCTACTGAGAAGTGATGATCGTGCACGAGCTCGAATCCCAGCACGAACCTGGACTATTTGTCGGGTGTCCATTTACTTCTCTCCCTTTTGCTATCTCATATTGGAAGCAATCAATCTCTGCATCCGAAAGCTAAAAGCGTAACTTTACAGATCCTTTCTAGCATACTCACTATGGCTAGTTTTTTTTTTTGTCTGTAATTTTCGTCCCGACTATCAGGGACCCTTTACGCAGCAGTTATACCTTTCGTACAGCAAAGACAAGCAGCCAGCTATTACTTGAAATCTATTGTACTGACCAATCCTTATTGATGCATCGACTGTTCTGGCAGCGGAATTGATTTTCGCTACACGGCTCCGGTACGGGACAGTTAAGTGATTTGTCCTCGTCCGCACCATCAACGCAATCCGGATCACCATCGCACACCCAACGTTTCGGTATGCACGTTGGACGATTCCACATTTTATTTTTCGTGCAGGTAAACTCTTTTTCGGGATCGCATTCGCGTGAATTACACTGGTGTCGAGCGTCTTCATCTGACCGATCGAGGCAGTCATCGTCGCCGTCGCACAGATACGTTCGAGGTATACAGTTGCCGTTATCGCACGTGAACAAATCACCAAAGCACGTACGTTTTTCAGACTTGCAATACTCAGCCGGTTCGTCAGCGCCATCACCACAGTCGTTGTCGCCGTCGCAATGCCAGTTGGCTGGGATGCATCTGCATGGCAAAAAAAAACAACCAATACGATACAAATCATCAAAAGGGCAGAAAACTATCGGATTGAAGCTCTTTTTTGGACACTGATATCATAGAATATAGGCTAATAGAAAAATATCAAAGGTCGTTAACTTTTTTTTTAGATTAATTTACGCACGAACGATCGCTGGGCTGGATCGAAAGTGAACTCTGTACTTCGATCGTTACCATTTGACGACGCACTCTTTGCTATAACTTACACATACATTGGAAGTTAGTCTTCCAATCGAATACCGATTCGCTGGCTAAGTGCTATAGTTTGCGTATGATACCTGTGGTTAGTGCAGCGAAAACTGTTGGCAGGACAACTTCTTTGCGAGCAGAGTGTCGATATCTCGTCAGAGTTGTCTCCGCAGTCGTCATCTCCATCACAGAGCCAAAAGGGTTCAGCACAGATGTTTGTTGTTGCGCATTTGACCTGTTGGCCAGGACAGGTGCGATTGTTTGGACAATGCGAATGCGATTCATCTGTAGCATTGCCATCTTTACAATCGTCCCGGCCGTCACACACCTGATTATTGGGAATACATTTGAAGTTCGCACAGGTGAACTCATCCCCGGAACATTCGGGATATTTGCAATCAACTTCGTCACTGTTATCTCCACAATCGTTTTCGTGATCGCACCTCCATCGGAGCTGGAGACAGCGTTCATTAGCGCAACGGAATTCCGTCGGGGAGCACGTACGCACCGCGCAATATTTAGGATTCTCGTCTGAACGATCGCCACAGTCGTCGTCTGAATCGCAGGTATACCGTCGATCAATGCATTTTCCATTGGCACAGGCAAACTTCGATGGGTCACACGTAACGTTCTCAGGAACGCACATTTTACCTTGGTTGGCGATTTTCATATTGCTCTCGCAAAGACACTCAGGCCCGTTCGGTCCAGGGTGGCAGGACTGGGCGCAACCGCCGTTGTTCAGCTCACACACGGTCTTGTTGCACTTCTGTCGTTCCGGCGCGTACACGTGAATGTCACGCGGGGATTCTTCGAGACGTTTAGCTATTTCTTGCATTCCTGCTCCGGTATGTTTCTCTGCTCGGTAAACACCCCGAAGCTGAAGGTCAGTCCAATAAATGTATGGGCCGTGAACGGTTATGGCGAACGGGTAGATTGTCGCGGAGATCAGTTCTTCTCTATCGGTGCCGTCGAGGTTGGCTCGTTCAATTTTCTCGCGTAGCGCGTCAGTCCAGTACAATTTTCGGTCATCGTAGTCGATCGCTAGCCCACTCGGCTGTGTTAGATTCGATGAGACAATGGCGGTTTTGTTGTTGCCTGCCATCGTGGCACGGAAGATTTTGCCGGTGTGACCATAACGACCCCAGTCCGTGTAGTACATATACCCATCGCATGGATCAAGGACGATAGCTCGAGGTCGTTCGACGTTAGCTATCATGACAATATTCGTTCCGTCAGTGTTCATTGCGTAGATGCTGCGATTTGCTGAGTCAGCGAAGTAGATCTTTTTATGTGTCCAATCGAAAGCGATACCCTCAGGGTTGACGGTTTTGTTTAGAACGACATTTACTTTTTGGTCAGGATTTTCCGGATCCATCCAGAAAATGGCCCCATCAGGGCGAATCTTCGTAAAGTACATTCGATGATTGGCGTAGTCGAAGTCCATGCCAACAAGGTTGGTCAAGTTGCCTTTTGGCTGGAATGGCAGCGATGTTCGCTGTGGATCTAGGAACATTGAGCGTATCTCTTTTCGCGTGGAGAAGACGAGGTAAGTCTTGACGGTGGAGCAGCCTAGGCCGGATTCATCGAGTTGGCCTGATGCGCATGCGCAGCGGAAGTCCTTTCCATTGATTTGCGTCGGTAACGGAAAGCAGAGCTGCGCACACCCAGCCCCCGCACATGGCGAGTTAGAGTGATATTGGTTATTGTCGTAATAGACCATCACGTCACGCAGCATGTTTAGATCCAACTTGACCTTTTTAGGTATGTCGTTTTTGCGATTCTTGTTAATTTTAAAGATTGTACGCAAATTGCGATCAGCCCAAAACACGTCGTCGCCGTAAATGGCCACCCCCATAGGATTGGGTAGTCCGTTAACAATTGTACGGCGATTACTGCCATCAAAGGCACAAGCTTGTAGCGCGTCGATTTTCGAGTCCACCCAGTAGATGTCGTTAGTCGCGATATCGACAGTCAGGTCTCGGGGAGCGGCAATTCCGGTAACGACAAGCGACGTGCGATTTGTGCAGTCCATAAAGGCGCGCTCGATCTTTGGATACTGCCCAGAGTCAGTCCAGTAAAGATAGCGTTTAATTGGATCAACAGCGAGTTCACGCGGGGAATCCGTTGTTGTCTTTAGCAACACCATACGATTTTCGCCGTTCAGCTGTGACACTTCGATAAAGTTCTCGTGAGGAAACACGTTCGTAAAGTACAACATGCCTGAAAATATTATTTTCGTATTGCGTTATTATTACATATACCTGTTCGTAACGTTATAATGAACTTGGAAAATCAAATGTAATTAGAACGATCCAATAACAGTGTGCTATAAAAGAAGCATAGTAAAGTATCCACTACTTACGGTTGACCCAATCAACTGCTAGCCCTCGAATTCCGTTGCTTCCGATACCGTCCTTAATTATATGTTGTTGGTCTGTTCCATTTTGTCGGATCGCAAAGATACCGTTACGGGGTCCTTGATTGAACTCGATCCAATAGATGCGTTTGTCTTCGTACAGCATATCGAGGTGCAATATGTTGTGGCCTGGACCCGCGATTGGTGGCATTGCTTCATTCGAGCCTTCGATATCGACAGCACTTGCCTTCTCCAGTTCGGAGTAGACGAGGAACTCGTTGTACGGAATGCACAGCGTATCACCCCGAAGCTTGAAGCCAACACCGCAAAGGCATTTGCGAGCTGTGCCGTTAAAAGGTACACAGATATGAAAGCAACCTCCATTTCGAATCAGACAAGGATGGTCAGGGACTTCAGCGCGTTTACCGTAGACTTTGAGCGATTGTAACCCGCTGAGATTGTCTTCGATCACCGTCTCGGTGTTGCCATTCTGAAGGTCAATAAATGACACTTTCTCGTGGGCCGAATCAAGAAAATATATTCGCTGATGGTAAAATCCGATCGATTGTGGTTTATCAATGCGGAGCGCGTTGTTAAACACTGTCCGCCGATCTGTCCCCGTATAGCTAACACTTTCAATAATACCGGGAAAGCTCTGTGAGAAATAGATACGCTGTGTCGTCGGATCTATTGTAAGTGACTCGATGTTGCGTAAGTTGCTGTCTAAAACGATACCACGTACTTCGCCGTCCATTGTAGCATAACCAATCTTTGTAGATACACCAATGCTTCCGCTATCTAACCAGAACAGCTTGCCAACAATAGGGTCAAGGGCAATCGCCTGTGGTTTTCCAACACCTGTATTGTTGCCGTCGTTGGAAATGATGACGCGCCGATAGCTGTTCGCTCCGAGCGAGACAATTTCAATGTTTGACGCTTTTCGATTGCCCACGTACAGGTTACGGCCAATCCAGTCAACGGCCACAGTGTAAGGCGCACCGACAAAACCGTCCGGAAGGAATTTGGTCACATTGGATGCCCTCAGATTGATCTTGGATAGGGTTCCATTCTCTTTATCATCATCAAGTGCTTTTACAATGTAAACATTGTCCTCTTGCTGGTCGAAATCGAAGTCTCTCGCCCGATCCAAGCCAATAATCGGCGACATTTGACCAGCATTCGACTTGCCTGCCTCTAGAGTCATATCGACAAGTTGACTACCACGCAGCACCATCAAGAACGGCTTGTCTACTGGTATACATACACCGTTCGTCGAGCTTCTGTCCAATGTATAACCTGGAGGACATTTACAGGCGTATGCCTTACTCGCGGACGGCGACAGCAGACACAGATGTGTGCATGGCGCATTAGCACATGGATTACTAGATGTTGGTTGTAAAATTGGATGATTTACGTGAATGCCAAGTGGCTGGCTTACTAAATGACTTACGACGGTCTGATTCTTGCCGCGGAATTTGTCGCATGACAGCACCCTATTAAGTTGGCGATCAGTCCAGTACAATGTGTCCTCGAACACCGTTAAACTATGCGGATGTAACAAATAGTGATTATGCGCAAGAATCTGTTGTCTTCCGGTGCCATCGTAGTTGCAAAAGTCAATGTAGTCGAGTTTTGAGTCAGCAAAGTAAACCCTCCTATTGGGTAAATCTAGCGTTAGCCCGTTTGGCCAGAAGATGCGAGTGTCAATGATCGTACGACGCATGGATCCATCAAGGCCAACACTTTCAATCCTTGGATTCTCTCCCCAATCCGAGAAGAACATAATGCGTGCACCCTGACGAGGATCTATCGACAGCCCTCGAGGTTGGCTAATGTTATTGTTAATCAAAACTATATGGTTCTTTCCTTCCAGATTAGACACTTCGATCGTCTTCAATTTCGAATCTACCCAGTATAGGTTGTTCGCAACCCAGTCCACAGAAAGACCCTCGATAAGATCGAGCCCACTGGATATGACCGTTAACGGCTCGCCACCTTTCATCAGTTTAAAGATCTTTTTGGCATTCATATCGAACCAAAATATCGTGTTATTCCTCATGTACGACGCGGTAGCGACAACATTATCGACTTTAACAGGCACCCGTTCTAAGCTGGACGTGTCGAGACTGCCCACCAAAATCGATCTTCGATTAGAGATGACGAGGTACGCCTGACTTCTATCCTGTGCTTTACACCTATGCTGGTCACCCGGGTCCTGTATGTAACCCTCATCGCATTTACATGTGTACGATCCCTTGTTGTTGAAGCAGTGCTGCGAGCAGGCTCCAACAATGTCCGTGCACTCGTCGAGGTCGACACACGTTGTTGTATCATTTAGCCGTTCACCTTTCGGGCATGTACACTCCGGGCCTGCCGGAGTCATGGTACAGTTATGAGTGCATCCAACTTTTTCCGGGGAGCACATGCCGTTCAGACAACCTGGACCCTCATCCAAACCATCGGGGCAATCAGGCTTACCGTCACAGACCAGTGTAACATTGATGCATCGGTCAGTTACGTTAGGGCATGCCCACTGATAGTAGGGGCAGATCAGAGGCTTCTGTACACAGGCGTGCCTCTCGTGCTCATCCGAGCCATCACCGCAATCGTTATTGCCATCGCACACCCACGACTTGTAGATGCATCGTCCGTTATCGCATTTGAAATGATTCTGCGGGCAGACACCTCGCGGACACGTGTCGGGTTCGTCACTGCCATCATCACAGTCCTTATGACCATCGCATCTCCAACCAAGTGGAATACAGATTCTGGGTGACTTGCACTGAAATGATTTTTCGTCACATTCGTTCGGCGAACGTGACGGACAATTCTTCTCATCTGAATTATCCGAACAGTCACCTATTCCATCACACCTGTAACTATCATGTATACACTGGCGTTTGTTTTCGCACGCAAACTGACTCACGGTACAGACGGCCGGCGGACAGCTTTTCTCGTCGTCCTTATCTACACAGTCAGCGTCTCCGTCACACACCCAGTTCTTTGGGATGCAAGTACCAGACTGGCAAGCAAATTGAGTAGTCGAACAGGTTTTGTCCGTGCAGAACTCTCCTTCATCTGATCCGTCTCCGCAATCGTTCTCCGAATCGCACTTCCAGCTCTGAGGCACGCAGCGACCGTTTTCGCAAGCGAATTCGTTTGAGTTACATGTCGCATTGGCGCATCCCTGCTCATCTGAGCCGTCACCACAGTCGTTATCGCCGTCGCATTTGAACGACAGCGCGACGCAGCGGCCTGAGTTGCACTGGAATTCCCGGGCACTGCAGGTATTCCGCTTGCAGTTCTGATGTTCGTCAGATCCATCAAGGCAATCGTCATCTCCATCGCAAACCCAGTTCTTGGGGATACATCGTTGGTTGTCGCAGGTGAAATCCCACGAGTTCGGGCATGCTTTCGGGCTGGGCTCAGCTTTAGGGTCTCCTTTGCATTTTTTCTGGTCGTCATCAAGAACCTGGCCAGTGGGACATCCGCAAGTGGCTTGAAGTCCTCCACTAGCTGATATTACGCCAAAGCAGAATTTTTCACACCCGCCATTATTAGTGAGACACGGATGTTGGGGTTCGATATACTGATTCTCCTTCGAATAAACCTTGATACAAAAGAGACGCGCTCCATCCTCTGGAAGTGGAAGGACTTTACCCGTCACCCCAGTAGTTTTGTGCACCTTAGCGATAGCCTCAATACGCCAGTCAGTCACGTACATCCACTCTTTGAAAATGGTAATCGAGAAGGTATGCTTTAACTGCAACATGGTGGTATTCACTGTCTGAACATCGGAACCATCTAGATTTGAGTGCTGGATATGATCTAGAAGCGCGTCACACCAATAGAGACGGTCGTTCTCGAAATCAATGGCTAACCCGTTAGGCCAGCCTAGCGAAGTTCCTCGGACAACCTGCTGGTTCGTCCCATCGAGATAGGCCCGTGAAATGTTTGCTGGTCGATCCCACACTGAGTAGAAGATGTAGCCCTTATTGGGATGAACGACAATAGCTCGCGGTCTTCGCAAATCTCGCATAAGAACTTTTCGTTGCTGTGTATCCCTTGTATTTATCACTGCCAGGGTACCTTTGCGAGAATCCACAAAGTAGAGGTTCTTGGTCACCCAATCAAGGGCGATTCCTTCAACACCTTCGTGCTGTGCGGCTAACACGTTTTCCTTGCTGGTCCCATCTGGTTTCACCCTGGCGATCACGTCCAGAATGACATCTGATGTGTAGATGAACTCCTCGTGGGCATCGAAGTCGATTCCGACAAAGCGAGCTGATTTGCTCGCAATCGGAATCATAGCGTCGGAGAAAGCATCACTTCGGAGATCCATCAGTGTTCCACGAACGGATTTTTGCTGCGAATAGAGAAGAAATGTGTCGACCTTTTTGCAGTTACGCCCGTCGTTAGTCAACTCATAGCCGGTGTTACAGACGCACTTATAGCCGAGAGAGTAGTTACCGGCGCCAGTTCCTCGTACGACAATACACATATGCTGACAGCCTCCTTTGTTGAACTTGCACGGATTGTCAACCATGGGCTGCATTACCTTATGGTAAGCTTTAATCACCCCCGGCTCTTTGATAATAAATCGATCCTGATACATAATTTCGGTGGTGTCATTATTTCGGAAAAGATGAGTTGAAAGAATGCCCTGCTTAGTAGCATCGGTCCAATAAATCTTATTTTCGAAAAGCGTCATCTTATTCGCCGATGGCACCTTGGTTGAGCCACGAAGAATCGTATGCTTCCTATTGCCGTCGTAATCAACAGCGACGATCTCGTCGAGCTGAGAGTCGCACCAAATGACCAGTTTTTTGATCCTATCTAGTGTGAGACCGTTGACACGAAACAAAGACGTAACAATGATCCGACGGTTGAAGCCATCCAGATCGGCTCGCTCGAGATGGTCGCCGTCACTGAAGAACATGTATCTGTAATTGTCAAAGGTGACACAATCAGTTCACTTCGTTGTATTCTATACTATGTAAGTAATATAAAATGTGTATTCGACGGGTACTTATAATAGTAAGTTGGTATATTGCCTTCGGGCCGTGACAACTACGAAAATCCGCTAAGAACGTCGGCTAAAGTAGGCTATGCGAGAGATGTGCTAAAAATTTAACATACCCGGCCGACGGGTCAACAGCGATATCCTGAAGGTTCGTGAGATTTCTTGAAAGTACAATCGCGTGATTGAGTCCATCGAATTGCATGACATCGATTTTCTGGCCGAGATTATCAGCCACGTAGAGCTTGTTAGAAACCCAATCAACCGCAATGGCCACTGGATTCCACGCGAAAGGTACAAGCACAGGAGAGCGCTCCTGTTTCTTGTCACCTTCGTCATCGCCCAACCGAAGCGAATGGATAGTTCGATTCTCCAGCATCGTCCAAAAGATTTCGCGACGTCCGTAATGAAAATCGAGTCCACCAACTTGGCCGGCGGTCATGCTTAGCTCTTGGAGCGACTTATCGATAGGATTGAGCTCATAAATAACAGCTTGTCTAGCGAAGATCAGGCGCATCGTTAGAGAGTCCACGGCCTTACATGTGACCTTATCTTGAAGCTCATAACCAGCCTTGCACGAACAGTTGAAACCTTGGTGAAAATTCGTGCATAGTTGATCGCAATAACCCCATTCTTCGCACTCGTTTAGGTCTGCAGAAGCAGAGAAGGTAGTAGTCAATAGAGAATTTGGTAAAATGAAGGTATATCGTTGGAGGAGTAGCTTGCTACAGAGACACAACTTGTGAGAGAAAATTCCAGAACCTTGAAGGTAGCTTAAACAATCTGTAGAATACTTGCCAATACATGATCGGTTATCAGCTGGGTTGATTTTGAGACCCTGTAGACAGAAGCATTCGCCTCCATGTAACGAAGCTCGACATCCCTGGGCACACGATAAGCTCTGGCATAGCATTGACGCTGGTCACCAAACGCAAGTAAATCAAAATTAGTCGGATTGCGTTTCCTAAAGAAATTCACTGTATTAAGATCAAAAGATCACACGTACTACGCGGCCCCCCAAACAGCGACATGGCCTCAGTAAAATCGAGGAAAAAACGGCTTTTGATTGCAGATGTTAGCGAAATGAAAAGTTCTTCTGTATGCAAACAATCACCTGAGCCCATGCAATACCGTCAAATAGGCACTCACCTTCGTGCCAATTGTACCACATATCCTAGGACATATAGGCCAAGGTAAAAGGCGTATATGTGTGTCAAAATTTCGGATCGTAATCTTGTGTTGCAGAAAGGGTGTCGTGACCAACCTCTATTGTACTCACACTTACTAAAGCTAAAAATATATATATATATATATATATATATATATATATATATATATATATAAGCAGCATATAAATTGAAACATAGATTTATACTCACAGTTTCTAGAAATCTTCAAATACAGTGAAACATTAGATCTTACGATTGATGATAAAGTGTTATATTTGAATTTTACCTTTGCACCCATCTAATTTCAACTACGATTGTAAGAAAAATTGACAAAAATTTATGTAGCCAACATTCGTTAGATGAAGCTGTTTCTTTGCTATCTGCGTGTAGCAGTCTCTTGCATGTTCTCTTACGGATTATTGTATGACGAAACAAAAAAATAGGCAGTCTTTAATCCGCACGTCCTGGATAAATATCATGTGAATTCAATTCACACCTCTCAGTAAAAGTGCTGGTGCTTGATTTACCGTGTTATGATTTTTTACAATAACGAAACAATTCTACCTATTGCCGCCATTCCTCCCACGAATCCGCGTCATGCAAGAGCTTGTCCTGGTACGCGATAAATTGGCATTACTCCACCTTCTTCTCGTTTTCCCTAATGCTTTTACAATTAGGATAGTTGCGATAGCGAGACACATATATCATATAGGTACTTAAAATAAAGCGGAACTTATCGAATGAACATTTACTACCACTCTCGCTGACACAGCTTCAAAGGACTTATGGTCCGAGGAAATAGTATAAGCTTCTCCGGTAAGCTCTGTTGTTACAAGATTTACTACTCTAGCAACTATTACGGTTGCTTAATCATAGTCAGCTCCATTACCGTTTTTAAGTATTTGATTTGAGAGATACTTTTATATATTGTATACATACATATATAGGTCTGTGCTTCTCCTGAGTAAAGCTCATCCCCTCATCACCTAAAACATCCTCGTTCGCTTGTTTTTCTCACGTTAGCGGCCATTAGCACTCCGTTAGTGGCCTGTTTGCACCAATGTAGTGAAGTATTTTTGTAGCACTAAATAGCGCACAAGCGAACAAAGGTACTAGGCTACATTCTATTCTCGACAGCAACGCTGACTCAGGGGTCACTCTTCAGTATTATTATGAAAAGGAAAAAAGCAGTGAACCGCGTAAGATTTACACAGTGTCTTGGGTCGAAAGGCTGAATCTATCGAGCGTCCTCATGGCTTATAGAGTCGGTATCGGTAGATAGCTGATTTAACAGTGGCAAAATGTTGGAAAATTCGAATCGTTCTTCCATCAAGACGACGTTGTTGTTTTCGTCCTGTTCTAGCTGTTCGCGGCATGCGGTAGATGCAAGGAAAAATGTAAAAGTAACGATTAAGCTTCGTGCTGATGAACCGCACGAGCGTTTTCGGAAAACACACGTAGAAATAAAGGCGAAATAAGGTTCGTACTGATTAAACGAATCGTCGACGATATCGTTAAATGGTCTAATGTAACAACGTTATACAACGGTGGGCAACAACAAACTTACTGCAGTTCTGCTTCTCATCAGCTTCGTCCTGACAGTCCTTAACCCGGTCGCAGATCTTTGATCTGTCTATGCATTTCTTCTCTTCAGGACACAGCCACTTATTTTCCGGACACGTCTGTTGACCTGTAAGCGATCAGGAAGCGAGAATTGCGGGACAGAGAAAAGAGGCAATGCGCGTTGGACAAAACGCATTTGGTGCAGTATGATGCTAAAAAGCGATTCGGCGATAATCAAGAAATCGACCATCGTCGACCGAGAGACGACGACGACGACGACGACGACTTAACGATCAATTGATTATCGCTGTATGGCGAAATTGTATAGAAAAAAACATGCATGCTTCTATCAAAATGAGCCGTCTCAGTCTTTAATGTGGTGTGTGTGCGTCTGGCGTCACATAACGATTAGTCTGGCTAATAACGGACTGTAGATGCATTGAACGATAGGTTTATGTAGGCTAGCTACGCTTGCTTCCCTAGTCTTTGTAACGATCAAAACTGATTGAAGGGCAGTGCCACAAAGGCTTCGGCTGAGTGGGTTGTACGTTGTCTTTATCTATGTGAACCTATAGCCGCTAGATAACGTAATTTCCTTGAAGTCGTGCCGATGTACAAAACTTTCATATATATATATATATATATATATATATATATATATATATATATATATATATATATATATATATGTAAAATGTATCCTCCTCCTCCTCCTCCTCCTCCTCCTCCTCCTCCTCCTCCTCCTCGTGCTGTACACTGATCGCGTATAAAACTTTTACTATTAATTAGATACGTGGCCTAGATTATTGGTTCGATGTAGTGAGATATTTAGTTAGAGGAAATGAGCAAGCTAATAAAAATGGCGCTTTTATAGTGTCTAGCTGGAAACAATCTTTGTTGCAATACAATAAGCAATCAAAACAAGAGTCCTGTACTTTTCGCCTGCTAGAAACCGTATGATATAGGAAAGTATCTCGGGATACGTTACAGCCATCTTTCGATCACTTACGAAATGATGATTGTGCTTAAATGCGCATAGACGTGGGTTTGGTAAAGCGGTGTGTCAAATGAAAGAAGACAAGGCAGTGAGTCAATGTTTGCTAGCATCCGCGATCTGAGCGTGTGAAGTCAGCATAGAGTAGCAAAAGGGTTTTCAATTAATTGGAATCGCGTCAATTCGTCCATCAGTCGTAACTCTACCGAAGCCGTTAGGTGCAAAGTACCTAATGATTCGTAGCCAGATCGTGTTGCCATCCCACGAATCATGTTCTGCATTCGAACAATTTTCAGAGTTATTCGACTAATAAGGTAGCTAAAAAAAATGGCAACTTAGCAACAGATTCCCGTTTTATTCTCATAGGCACCAGTAAAGTTTTAAGAGATGATTGAGAGACTGGCATTCAAAACAAGACCACCACCATTTTGTTTGAAGTATTGAGGAAAGTCTCGTAGAATTACGTAGCCGCCAAAATAATAATTCTTCTCATAGCGAAACCTTCACGGCCATGATCTTCAAGGTTCATGCGTTTAACGCAGTAAGTGGAAGGTTACCGAATTCCTCATTTAGCCTTATTGCTTGCATTCATTCTTATGCATTCGAGCAGGTGACGGTACGGCAGTCAAATGGATACCTTTCCATTGCCTGTTCCTGTGATTGTTGCGCCTATACCACCAGGGTCGCGGCGTAGCTCGACCCGATGGGATGGTAATATGGGTAGGTATGTTAGTGACATCCCTTCGAGACCTCTGTAGGACCTCATCATCCTGCCAGGTAATTTCCAAAGCGTCCAAATTCTCCGCTGCGCAATAGACGCAAGGAGAAATTGTACAACAAAAATTAACTAATTATTCTAAATAAAAAATGATCAAATCTGTTAGAAACTAACGCTGTTTGGTAAATGAAACACTTCCGTCTGCAAACGTCGCGTCGGTAAGTTCGACTTGCTAGATATGACTACCCTTATTCCCTATTCGTTCCCTCTTCGGTTGCCAAGTTCAACGAAAGGCAAGAACATCATTAGAACAGAAAAGAAAACACTCTTCGTCTGAAGTGCAATTTCTCCACGGTAATCGCTCGTAGTAACATATGACAGTAATAACACTAGATTTTTTCCTTCATTTAATTAACCTATAGCAAACACAAGAGCAACTCGTTATATCGTTTACTCAATATAAGCCCTGCTGGAAATTATCATAGCCCAACATCACGTACATACACACACGCATAATTGATTTCCTCCTTCACGATAGGCACGTGGTTAATGGAGTGTAGTCCGGCATAGGGAACTGTTCTGCTACTAGAAAACTACCTTTAGGTAACGACCAATCACAAGTAATTATCGACCAAGCACAAAGGCTGTATTTACATATATCAGCGAATACTATCGATGCATATAATGGATAGCAAAAATGAAATACCGCCCTCTTTTAAAACATCCCGTACATTGAGAATGTACGTTGCTCATAGCTACGGAGTGTAGAAGAAAAATATGACGCTGAACGTAAAAAAGAAACATCAAGTTCTGCTAGTGCAGTCAGGCGCGTATTATTATTAGTGGACAAGCGGCAAAGACTGGTTACAACCCACATATGCAATGTTTTCCCCCATCTTTATTATCGGCCCCAATACGCCCAGATCGAGTCGATCAACTATCCATTTTCTGCCGCACGGCAATAGCAGAAAACATAAAACAAAAGAACCAACGCCATAAATGCTGATATAATTCTACAACAAAATGCGAACATTTGAAATCGTGTCTCCGAGATTCGAAAATGAAATATTTTTATTTCTATTTCACTTTGCGGGAGTGAAGTCAACGCCGATGACGACCGGCAAGCATGTCTTTGCATCTGTGCCTCTGATTTACCGCCGGTAACGAATTAGCCCAGTCGACTTTATTACGTCCGGTTCTGCCTGGCCGAGACGGAATCAAGGTCAAGAGTAACTTCAATAGCCACAGAAGGTACGGATGAAGAAAAATGTACGCCGAACGAAAACGACGTCAGTGATACAGAGTGAAGAGACATAATGAAAGTGAAAACATCCGGGAGCAGCATAAGGCTTCAGTGCATGACTAACAATTAGAAAGATTCATCGCTTGAGGCGGTTGGCTTTAAGTCTGATTTTAGATCTGCCAGTACAAAGACACTCACAGAGGAATCTTTAAAGATATTGGACCGTTTTAGCGTTTTCTTTTATGCAAAACTGTATAAAGCACACTGATTCTCCTAGACAACTCATGTATCATATGGCGACAAAATTTCTATACAGGCTAGCCAAGAAGTCAGCCTCTGCGATGCTAACAAGGCTGTACGGTTAAGAGAGCAACAGGATGGGTCAGAGATACGCTTAATTTAGTTGGGAGTGACGTAAGCATAACGATAGGGGAAGTAATAGGTTTGCAGTCAGGGTGGAAATGGGGATGGACGGAAAAGTGGATTGGCAATTCAAGCATTATCCGAAAGTTACCGTTTTCCTAATTAAAAGCCTATTTCTTCTTCAAATGCAAACCCACTATACCCTGCTGTAACCCTGCTTTTTTTCGTGCCGTGTATTACATGTATATCTCTATACATATTAGTAAAACTTAAATCTCTAACGGCTATCCGTCATGCATGTCACACAAAATCACAGAGTTTGTCGGGAAATGAAAATGCGGTTATTACTCGCCCGAGTTCAATATGCTATGCAACGTCTTCGAAAAGCAGCTTTTCGCAGCTGATCTTCAAGCTACAGGTGGAAAATACTAGAGTACAAGCCGTACGCTGCGAGCAATTGGGACACCCTACTGGCCTCGAACGAATGGCCGTTCTTGTTTTTATTATTACATAATTATTCTACCAGTGAGTAACTCAGTCTAAAATGTATTCCGTAATTCAGTTTACTTGGAAATAACAGTTGTCCAAATAGATGAAACAGGCGAAAAGGATCTATTTTCTAATAGATTACAAGTTACAAGAATAGCTCATACCCTATACGAATGCTAACAGTAAGTGCCATGCGTCAGTGTTTATTTTCAACAACCGTTCTTTGCAGTCGTTATTATTAGCGATTGATCACTATTTCTGTTTTTAGTACTATAATACCCTACGAAAGTTTTTGAAAAAATAATTTTGCAAGTAAGCGACATGGTTTAGAAAACCATCGCTTATGTTTTCAGGGCCGATTTTCGAAGAGGCTTTATGGCTAGAATCAAAAACGTACGTAGAACGAGAATGCAACAATGAATAACAGTCGACGACATATAACTGGAAAAATCATCAGTGATCGGGGTAGTTGTGTACTTACTGCAATTAAGTTCGTCGCTTTTATCTTTACAATCGTTATGACCATCACAACGCCATCGTTCGGGCATACATTGGTGATTTGCGCAGCGGAATTGGCCTGTAAGCGAAAAAAAAAATACAAATCCAGTTTAGCCAAACGAAGGTACCTAGCCTCCCTCCAAGAGACCTATTTTTGAACGTGGGACAGCACAGCAGAGCTCCTGTGAACGTACCTCTGATGCCGTTTATGTAATATATATTGGTCGTTATTAGGTTAACCTCTGCCACTGATCGTTAAAGTGTTTCGGCAAGATTCACCGTACATTTTATAAATGCCTTAGTGTACATGTTTATACCTGGCGCACATGCCGGATATGTGCAGTTTCGTTCGTCCGAGCCATCCAAGCAGTCGTTGTGGTGATCACAGAGGAGTATTCGCCCAATGCACTTTGTGCCGTCATCGCAACGGAATAACGTTAGCCTATAACAAGGAGAGGGGTAATTTTTAAACCCGCATATCTTTCCATGGAGGCACAAGATAACCTCTCTCGATATCTAGCTCATAATAGCTAATCCCATAACGAGAAGAGCTATTAATTCAGCCAGCTACTAGAATAGTTCATTGTTTGTGTTCATCATATAGATTCAGCTGGGAATTCTCAAGGGAAGATGAGCTCGTGCAATAATAATTATGTGCGGCCAACTGGTACCGTGAATGTTTCCTGAGACTTATTGAATTTTCTGGTTGAGAAATATATATATATATAGAAAGAAGTGAACAGCAGAATTATAGGCTCGCCTTCAGTCCAATTCACTGTTTACGTCAGGGCTTTCTAAAAACATGTGAGATATTTACTAAAAATACGGAAACTTACACACGTTTCGTCAGAATTGCTAAATTGTAACTACCCTTTGCCAAGGGATAGTACTATCTATTATTATTATTTAGTACCAAACAAAGCGTTGCTAAAATAATGGCCTGAATCCACAACGTCGGAAACCGGTTTCCTCGAACAGTACGTAAATGATCGAAGCGGTCAGGTCAACGATTCGGTGTGGCGTCAAAAGAATGGCGAGAAAAACAAATCTCAGCGCTGAACCGACAAGAAAGAACTTAACGTAACCGATCCTTCTTGTCGACAGAAAAACGTTCACCTACTTTAAGAACGTAGTTGTATTATAGTGCACGGGTCAGGTGACGTCACTATATGCTGCCTTTGTCGTACCTGCACAAAGTAAATTTTATTGGAAAACTGGCACTCGAATGACCTTGAGACTGTTCCAGCCATTACCGGATCGAAAGTATCACTAACAACATTATCCGACTATATAGAATATATTCAGATGAAATTGTTGAAACCGGGCTACACAGTAACAGGATGCATGTGACCTCTGCCATGAAAATGATGTTTCGTTAGTGAAGAGATGGGCATCAAGTTTATATAATAACATTTAGAAGATAACAAATATATTATTAACGACAACAACAAAATTCTATTGACCTAGAAACATAGGTTACTATCAACCCGTTAGCAATAACGGGTGTTCACCTAAAGCAGCGTTAAAGATAGATAGCTCTCAAATGAACCGTCAAACCTGCCGCCTTCGGGGACCGTGTATTCGTGATATATCTTCTTGTCTATTGCATGGTGACCGTCGTCTGTACTATAAAATCCGATAACCGCTACCCGGTACGTGCGTTGAGCTTACACCGCATGGGTTTTCGTGCCCTCCATATTTCCTCAGAAGTCTGTCCCCATTACAGACCTTTATCCACGGCAAGCTTGCTGATGGCCTCCGCCTGCTGATTTTAAGAGAAATAGTATTACGCCGCGCAATAAAGCGCCCTTGAAGCTTATCTGTGCGCCGTCGAAGGAAGAGTCATGGTGATTAAGCGGCAAACCAATAACAGAGCTAAACCCGCTCGTGCTTAGAATACGTCGAAGTGGATTAACAATGGAACGGGTGGTTTGAACGAATCGCGACTGCACGCCGACATAGCTATTGGTCTTGACAACCACGACTAGAACCGAATGTTTACTCTGTGGTAAACAATAGATTCAAGAACGATGGCATCGATCCATCTTAGGTAAAAAATTGCGTGGCAGAGGCCATGGGTAATGTGCAAATTCTATCCTTGGTTGCCAGTGATTGCCACGATTAGGCGCTGCTCCTATATGAGCTCATTTGACTGAAAAGTAATTTTGCTATTCACAAGGTATTATTTTTGGTCTAATTATTACTTTGTACCTGAACGTTTTTGATTTGTAAAAGAGCAGTGTTTTTTTTTTCTCGTTATGTAGACAACCGAGCTATTTCAAACATAAAAATGTTCGTGTACATAAAAATTAACCGAAGAGGGGGATGATCTCTAGAAATAAGGTCCAAATTGCTTTGTTGCTATGCCCACATAGTCTCCACTAGTATATACATTGGTCCGATAAATTGACAATATTTTTTTATTTAGTTTTTCTTAAAGGAGTAAATAACTGAATCAGTTGTCGATAAATAAAGCTACAAGAAAGAAAGATTTTTATAGAGAAGCTTATAGAAGACCTCACAGTAGATCCATTGTTTTCTATTATCGATCCCAGTCGATTTTTCTGAGCATTGCCAATATCTTGGGCATTACAACAATCTTAATGTCCTATCCTTTCATTCGACGAAATAGTATAACACTTACGGGCATTTGGTTGAATTGGTGGCGCATCCGTCCTCGTCGCTTTCGTCTCGACAGTCGATGTACCCGTCACACTTTTCCTTGCCAGATATACACACAACATGAGGTCCGGTCCCACAGCGATGGTCTTCAGGAAGACATTCCCTATAATCGCAGTCCCGTTCATCTGAGCCATCCATGCAGTCGACTATCCTATCGCATGCGTAATTTTTCGGCAGGCAGTAAGAACTGTTGAACTTATATGTACCTGTGCGACAAGAAAATCAGTTACTGCTATAGCTATAACTCAGACCGTATTTTGATGCCTGAACGTCTGAAACGACGTTTCCAGTTATTCGAGAAGGGAATTTTCATAAAAGCTACATTGCCTTATAGAAAAGAAACATCAGCTAAAAAAAAAAAAAACGTCATAATCATAAACTTAGTCAGACAGAGCGCTATTCCTCAATTTCCACCTCTAGAATTAAGTATTACTCGTAAACAATTCTGCGTATGAACCGAGCAGCTTAGCTTAGCTTAGCTCAGCCGCCCGCCGTAGTAGCTTGATTATTAAGTCAGACAATACAATTAAGTGACTTTCTTTTTGCGTAACGCTGTTATCATCCAGCATTGGCTCGTAGCTTTTAGCTACACGAATGTTTCGAATGATGATAATGATCAATAATGAATGCACTATGTTTGGTGACCACCGATAGCAGTCAGATTGAAAGCGTATGCTCTGCGCTATGGGTTCAGAGACGTTAGCTGCCAATGTTATTTTATTTGTTTGGAATGGAATAGTGTAACAACAAGAAATAGTTATGATTATTTATGCCGTTTTATTAGCCCATTACTGCTCGGTAAGGCTATTGCCGATTGTGGAAGCAAGACAAGCGAAGTATAACTTGTCAAGAAAAAGTAGCAGGAGATATATTTATGCGTTCGTTGATCTACGTTACGTATCGATACAGATGTCTTGCATCGACATCATTAAGCACAAACAGAGCGGCTATATTTTACAATATTATACGTTCATGCACTATAAACTGTGGGGAGGATCGATCAAAGCTTCTTTTCGGACGAATTACTTATATATACGTTACTTATAGGTGTACTGTCCTCTTAGGAAGAGCTTATGTCGTTCGTTTTTACGAAGCAGCTGTATACGTAAATAACTAATTATTCTCTGCGAAATGTGTTACCAGATAAATAGTGTTATTTGTGGAATCAATGTAAAATTTTTAAAAAAAAAGCCCATAAATGGCCTACAAAAGACTGACGTTTACTTGCAGAACCTAGATAGCCGCTTCTAAGCTAGCATACATATATACAAATGCGAAGACGTTACACTGTAGTCAACTGTTTTACTAGGCGATACGTAATACATTCGTTTGTAGTTAGCTGGTTGTTGGTGGTCTTTGGCCGATTCTCGGCCTGGGGTGCCCTTTAACGTTTGACTCTCGGGTCTGTCAGACATCACTATCACGGGAAGCCATGAAATGCGCTCGTTCGGCCTCGTAGCCCGCAAGCTCCATATGTCCATAATATATAATAGAATTTTTATACACAAATCCTCCTCTACCAAGACCTTAGGCGATCGGATGTCCTAAGTCAAGGTTGTCATCATAGAGACATACTTTCGTATTTCATCCTTTATGAACTAATCATTTACCAACTGCCTGTTGTTCCTTTCTCCAGTAGAATATAATGCCATAAAAACAACGAACAATGCAACACGCGAGACGGCAAGTTGAAACGTACGTCTCCAGCAAAGCTAAAACGATCGCTGAATGTATCGACAATTAATCATCAAACAAAGATAACACGATTCAATTCAACTGGGAGCCGCTGTCTTCACTTGTATGTTATATCACACAAAGAGCCACTTGTTCATTGTGCTAAATAACGTTAGGATGATGATCGACTGGCCGTGAACGCCTTATAAAACAGGGACGGGTAAACGTAACGTGACAGCGTGTCGCTAAAGAAGTGTCGGGCTGCCGTCTGAAGATCAAGCAGCCCTTGTACTGACGCTGCAGCTATTAACATCACCAAGTTTGCTCTGCCAATTGCCAGCTGGAACTTTGGTTGGTATTGCCTACAATTTTATTTCTACTGGTATGGCATTTGTTAATGCCAGGGGCTACGAATGAACCCAGATAGGTAGGTAGGTAGGTAGGTAGGTACCGGTGGTCGTATATACCATTATAGTGGTACAACTTAGTAACAACGATTATTAATAGCCGCGCTTCCTTAGTTAGATCAAAAACACTGGCTTGTATTAGATCAAACTCGCGCTGGATGACTTTTTTCCTTAGTTTTGTTTGTCTATTATAGTAAACGTATCAATGGACAGGTGTGCAATTATATCAAATTAGCTAATGATCGGACATGCATAGGTACGCGCTGACAAGCAGACCTGTTTGTCCGTCGCTCGGTTGCGTGAATAGCAAAACATTACGCCAGTCATGCAGAAAGGGAAAAGCTCACGGCTGAAAAGGATCAGGAGCGAATCATAATACACATAATGTTACCTGAGTGAACGCTGTATCAGTGTATGCAGTTTCAATAGTGCCTAATTCTTCTTAATGATTCCGGGTATTGTGTTGGGTTATGCCATTGAGTAGGCATAGCAGTAACGAACAATGATACGACGGCAATACAAGGTTAAGAATCTCGTACCTTCCTAGATAAATCGCGGTATATAGGAGTCATGCAGATAGATATGTTTTGACATAGATTCGTGTTTATTGCGTCTCTTCCATGACTAGAGTCTATAACAAGCAAGATATTGTCAGAGAGCCCTATAGGCGCAATAAACCTATACAAGTCGCGCTATATTCTTAAATATGAACTATTGTTTCATCCGTCGTAATAATATAGCATTATATAGAAACCGTTTCCTAAAGCTTGTTTTTAAGGCCCTTAAATAAACTTATGTATACCATAACTGTTATAGGCAGCTAAGTCGTTTTTCTATTTTAAGACATCCGCGTCACACAGCCAAAAGAAAAATTGAGAGCAGTCCAATTTATGCATTTTTTTTTCATAACTTGCACTTACTAATTACAGTCTAACAACAGCCATTGAAGCTCACTGAACAGAAACGTAAATGACAGCAAACTATTCATATTTAAAGGGGCAGCATTTGTGTCCCGTTAAATAGTTATCTGGGTTCAGAATCTACTCTAAGGTGTTCCAGCTCCACAAGATTTATGAGAACGAAAGACAAGTTCCGACAACTGTGAGCGGTCATAATGCGGTGGTAATGCACGCGTTGTCGTTTTTTTCCCAAAAATCTACAGTGATTTCGTTCGCTTCACGTGAGGTTATGGCCGAGGTATGTCCCTCTATCGATGGCTCAGTCCATGGGAGTGATACACAATTTCGAAGTTATTATATTTTGTACTAGCTTTAATCGTAGGCTGGTGTGGCAACACGTGTTCTTTAATAAATACGTGCCTAAAATAGCTCCTCAATATGACTCTCAGTATAACGCACGTGAACGAGCCTCCTCGCACGTCGATTGAGCTTAAACGCGAAAATAAAGTTCCCACAGGATTGAGTCCTCTGTGCGATGTAACCCACAAAAAAGCACGAATGCAAAACCTGTCTGTGCTTCTATTGCGGACCTACAAGACGTCGGACTTCACTGCAGCTAAATACATTTTGGTAATAATAAAAAAAGCATGTTTTCAACCTATAAGCATTAAAACATAAAGGTATAATCTTAAATTCGAATTAAGAAATATATTATTTATATCTAATTCAGTCACATTATCAAACTTTCTTCAATCAACGTCCGTTAATGCTTTGTTATGCTACTTACTACAAGCAAATTGGTCAGTTCCGCATTTCGGTGGCGGACAGCCCTGGTGCTCATCAATCCCGTCGTCACAGTCCTGCTGATGATCGCACACCCATCTCTGCGGTATACATTTGCCATCGGTACAGCGAAAGTGGTCCGCTGCGCATCCGTTCGATCGACCCATCTTGGGCTCCTCTAAAAGATAGAACATAATGCAATTAGAGATAACCGACATAACAATAATCTCATAAGAAATTAGCAGGACACTTAACAGACATGCGCGTGAATTATTTTCGATACGTTGACTATTGTAATTGATTATCATTGTTGTACTTTAAGGGGCTAGCTTACCCCTAAATTTTACAACGCAACCTTTCAACAACGAGTAATCTGAGCATGCTTGTTGGTAGGCTACAAACAGACGGAGGACGTAAATGTTACGTATCATACGGAAGCATGAAGGGTCAACTGACATTGTCTTTCTTTCTAGCGCTTATTTCCCTTTTTCCTGATGCTAACCCATGCTATTTCATCAGATCGGTGCATAGTAATCGTACATTGCTTGGACAACCCGAAAACGGATTGGTCGTTGGCCATTGTTACCAAACGGGCCGATTTCGTGACCACAATGTTTACTCTGAGGCCGACACGTACACGCTGATCACCACAGTTCCCGTTAGCTTGCCAAGATCTGGTCGCTGTTGTTACTGTTGCCACTTATAATTCTTTTGGTAAAAAATAGAAAAAAATCTATTCCGAGTATACTAACATTGCGCATTCAGTTCCATCGACTCCGCTGTTCTGCCTGATTCAAGGCGTCGTACAATAGCTGTTGCCCTATTTCATCTATCGGCTACTTTCGTGTCTTTCTGTCCATTGGTTATTTTCTTGCCTGTGTATATTTTTCTTATTTATTCCCACAGGACAAGATAATTCGTATATTTATTATAAATATTATATTGCTTTCGAAGTGATCAATATCATTTTGTAATCACTCCATCAGAAATGGACAAAGTAGCAGCCTAGTCGAAGGGTTCTGCATCGCCGCCGCAAGATACTATAGCCCTTGAGCGATACCCTGCTCTTCGTGGGACAGCTATAGCAATCTACGTTTAATTAGGCGCGTCGGAGATGGGGAATTGATTTTGCGCCATTTTCCTCGTCGGCTGAGCGCTAAACGAATACGTACAATTTACCGTGCACCTGCTCTGATTTCCCTGTAGTTGAACTGAAGCTGTAACCTCAGCTTTAGACTAGTAAGGGCGCAGGTGCTATTACTCAACGGCGTCCTCAGCCGCAAGGCTCAACAGTACATGTTGCCTCATGCACGAACCTTATTATCATGTCCGGTGCGAGGTCTAGTCAATCGTACACCTGAGTATCGCCGTTCGTGCGGCGAGGCATAGGATGATATCCTAGGTGAACACAGACATACGCGTGCGGTAAACAGCATTGACAGGACAACAGTTCCTGGTAAAATCTGCTACTGGGATCATTGATGCTGTTTCTGCCTGCCAGTGTGTCGGCCACCGGGAGCACTACTGCAGTGACGTTTCAATATAACAACATATACGTATACTAGGAAATACGAGATTGCAATGATGACGACGACAACGATGACGAAGTAAAGTCAGTCACCTTTCGTCTCTTGTGGCGCTGTGAACCGGCCGCAGACGCTGCCCCAGAGGCATAACTAATGATGCAGGAACAGCACAAACGTAAAATAAGGAATCGAGTGTGGGCACACAATCATGCTTGCGGACAGCGATAGCAAAAGTAAAAACAACGAGGACAGGATTATCGCAGATGAATTTGCATAAACAGAAGGTGGAAAGCAATTACAAAATCGTCGAGATCAAGAGGAAATGAAAAACAAGTGCCAATGTTTCGGTGGCAGGGTGGTAGGATGTTGATGATGATGTCGACCACAGGAGTAATGGTCGAATGATTTCATCGAAGTATTACAGCGAAGTAAGGTGGAAAATTCCATTGGGGTACTTTTGGATTGAGCGGTTGATCGAGCGGACTCAGAACTCTCGGTGTTTCTAACAAGCATTTCGCTAGTCAGTGTGATGCTACCGCAATTAGGTAAATAGAAAAAGTCTGCCCTTTCTTTAAAAGGCTGTTACTTTTACATGAGTGTTGGCATGCTGAAAAAACCAATCCCGTCCTCTAGCATACGGATAATATCGCACTTCAGTTAAGTACGCCATTACTATATGCATATATTACCGTGGTAGCGCAGGTAGGTTTTATCTACTGAACTCAGGAACACGTTCGATCCGGACATAGACACATTTTGTTCCGTACTAGCACGGGCCAGCTATCTGAAGTAATACTTACCGATTTAAATACTGAACTCAAAACGCGTGAAACATTATTTTTATCTAACAATTTAACTTAGCGGTGACAGAATGACGAAACCGATTATGTACATTATATACTCGAAATTCGGTTTACCTTATTTTATAGACAAACAGTGCGAGTTATGACAGAGGAAACATTTGACGGATACAATACCAATTAATCGATGTATAATTACTGCTCTTATTATGATGATTTGCCCGTCATAATAATAAAAATCGTCTGAGAACATCTGTTTATTTTGACCCGTCCTGCGAGCTCTCACTTATGTACAGGTTTCCTAGAATTTATCTATATTAGGATAGAAAAATATCTACACATATATCTTGGTAGAATAAAAAAAAAAAAGCATTAGATAGGCCTTGAGGCCTGAGAATTAAAAATTATTCAAGCAGTCACTTGCACTTGTAGGTACTGCATCCGCGTGGAATATATACCTTACATACCTTGCCCTACGTCTGCGTATCTAGCTAATCACTGTGACCTTTTTATACTTATATCAATACTATGTCACCACAAATTCTACTAGTACAGGACAAGCGAGTTCAAAATCCGTATGCACACGGCTGTTCTCCGTTGTTTCGTCGGATGATAGCTTTTCCACCTATCGTAATGTGTTTGCGTGCACGTCTTGTGGTACGCTTTACAGGTCTTTTTTTTTTATAAATCACAGGTTTTTTTTTAATAACGAAATTTCTCGCTGTGTATTTTAACGCTGTGTATTCGATAAACTTCTTCTGCTAGTACTTCAGGGGCAGCTGTCTACTCTGGCAACTGTCGTAGTGCTACAAAGAACGCCAACCAAGAAACAGTTTCAAATCCGTGCCGACTGCCAGGGCATCTCTTTTCAAAGGTTTCCTCCTGTATTCCGTTTTGGGATTCGTCTCCCACCTAGTTTTCCACGAACAATCAAACATTTATTGAAAGTAGCATTAAGTAAACAAATAAAAGACGATTGCTCACCTAATGGCCAGCGATTATCATTTAAATGCCAATTAATAACAGGTGGTCATGTTGTGACATCGACCTTCGTCGACAACACTCTATGGCTTCGTTCAAATCAAGGTATCGCCATTATGCATCTGCGAGCCACCATCAACCGAGCCTGAGTCTTCCTTTCGTAAGGGAAATGCTGTACTCACCTCTGCAGTCATTCGGTAGTAGCTGCAGCAGCCGCAACAATGACTACAACAACAATAACATTGGTAACAACAACAACCAGGCCAACAGCAGTAGAAATGTCAGCGAAAAATGGACATCGAGTTGCCATTTGAAGCAAAGAGAAAGAGAGACTTATGGGCGGGTGTAATTGTAGTCGGAACCAGGCCCAGTTGCATACGTTTTTTGACCCACGATCGCGATTGCCATTGTGATGAGATGACTCCTCCAAGAGTCGGCCCAGTCTTCGCCGCTTTTGTGACACATTGTAGCAAAGTTTGCTGCCATCAGCCAGGACGACTTACCGAACCCAGACGCCATCGAACGGCACCGAGATTATTTACGGCCAGAAGGTGGGAGAGAGATGGTAACCGCGGTGACACTAAGAGCTAAACGTGCAAGTGAGGCTAAAAAGCTCTCATTATTTTTATTATTCTTATTAATTACTTTTTTTTTTCACGATTTGTATTGTTATTACTATCTTAACTAAAGACACTTCGCTGCAAAGTTGCTATGAAATCGAAAAGAGCCTATTTAGTGTATCGTGAAAAGACGTAGACACTCACTGGTTTGCTGCCTGCCACTAAAACTATTCGTTCTGAAACCGCGAAGAAAAGTTAAGGGCCATTCGACCGAAGTATAGCAATAGTAGTGTCATACGGACAACAGGTCTATGATAGGAACTGAGAGCGTCACAGAGGAGGCTGCAGGGCTGGTGAGGTAGACGGGAACAAATTTCAAATAGTTGCTGCAATATATGACAATGGCCTGTCCTGAACGAACCGACGGGACAACAGTGCTGGAAAGGCTGGAAATTTAACGGTCAAATCATTGTTACGTTTGTGAATACTGCCAAAGCTCTTTGAATGCTGTAACCGTTTCAACCGTAAGATAATACTGACACGGCAAAGTTGGCAATATCGAACTGGCTTGGACAATTGCAGTGGTCAACAATGGCGATATTTCAAAATAGGTGCGATGCGCCAATGATGATTGAATCAAGACAAACCGATTGGTTGGTCGCGTCTCCGGTAACTTTTGCGTGTCCCTAAACGACTCTGTGGCACCAAATGTGATTCATCTATTTTGGCGTTTATCAACTACGTTGTAAAACTAAAACCTGCCGGGGAAATCGCTAATTAATCGTTTGGTATATATACGTGGTATTGTTTTGCGTTTCGTCGGCTTAGGCCATTGTTCTATTCGGGCTATGTCCTAGTTGATTTTGGTTTGGGCGTACATTCACCGTTAGCGGGATCTTGAAGTCTGCGCCTATTCGGAGATTTTTTGCTGTATAACACTGTTCAGATGGTCAGAGGGAACTTGAGATGTCGTATTCAACTAGCTCAATCGCACAAAAGGACATCTGTTCTTAACTAAAGAAAGCGTAAAACAATTCGACATAGAATGTGATGTTCCACAGAAGATTTAGGCAGCGTTACGTAAAAGGAATCGACTGTGCACGACGGCTACGGCACGAGACGATCACAGTAAATGGACCCGGAACATCACAGTAGATGTCGTAATTTATAATTCCAGTCCATGCGAATTTATATCACTTATATCGCTTTCTATGATAATGACGTAACGTTTACTAGCGACAATGGACGATTTAGCACAGGAATATTGTTCTTTTCTTCTTTGTTGTTGTTTTTTCCATAGTGTACCACAAT